CTTTGTGATTTAGTTTCATCCTTCTGGCTACTTTTTATTCATTTATTCTCACACAAGGCTGGCTCACAAAGGAGACTCTAGCCTCAGTGGAATCATCTTGTTAAAATACTTATAGAAAGAGAGAAAAAAAATAACATGCAATGTCTCAGCTGGCAGTGAATGTATTTGGTGGTGCTTTTTTTTTTGTTTTTGTTTTTTTTGTATACTCCAGATTGTTTTTAATTGGGTGTCCAGATCACGGCATGTTTTTTTCTAACAATCACAGAAGATGTAGCCCAACATACGCACCCCCCCCCATACACATTCAAGTGCGTAAACAAAAAACACACACATAACCCCGACCCTGAAATCTGTGAATCAGCAGAGGCGCTTCATTAGAGCCATCATGAAGAGTAATCACAACCTGCATAGTGTGCGAGTCCCAAGGGGTCCATTAAACCAGTGGTGTTATTGCCCAGCGCATGAAGGATGCAAGAATTGGAACACACACTCTAAAGCTGTAACACAAATGCACGCACAAAGACACATACGCAGCTTTATCAGCGTTTCAGGGCAGAGATGTTTAGAATAATAATGTGATCATACATGCACACACACATGCGGTGGCAGACTGTACATATTCAATAATTTGTTAACTGGACGTCTACGGTAACAGCATCATCTTTGCACACTTCCAAAGCTCAGTGGCTTTTAAAATATTCAAGGCTTCACAGTAACCCTTGAGTCCATGCATGTAAGAAACCTTCAGAGGGCTACTTTGTGTCAGTTCTTTTCTGATTTTTATGCAGGGATTCACACAGCCTCACGGGTATATTATGCTGTCAGGAAAAACAACACAGCTGTGCACATTATTTTATGTTACTATTGGGATCATCATTCTTCCCCTGTATGAGAAATCAGCCTGCTAATGCTCATTTAGACAGAAAAAGGAAGCTGAGCAGCTGCACCTTTTCATACTTCTGAGCTGCAGGACCTTAATGTGTGGGTTTGACACCACAGGTGCGCTGAGCTTATTGATTTATCTGCAGCAACAGTAATGACTTGCAGGATATGTTTGTTTGTTTTGGATAGTGGTGGACTAGCTCTGTAGATTATTCTGTTTGCTTATGCTGCTATCTAAATTGCATCAACCAGGCATAAAACAGAACGATATCACTGATGGCCAGTTAGTGTAGCCTGCAGTCTACAGGAGTCTAAACAGAGTGCAGAGTGACTTAAAATAACCACAGTCGGTATGTGATAATCATTAAACTGCCAGACGCGTTTGTGTTTATTTGCACTCAAACAAGAACCCACTGTGATCTCTTTATGACCCACAGCAGTAGCTCTTTCAGTGAGATATGTGATACACTCTTTACATGCACATGGACTGTCATGATAGCTGTTCCACACTCAGAACAGACTTTTTTTTCCCACCATGTTGTTTTTTCTCAACCAGGAGTGTAACTGTTGTCTGATTACCAAGTCTTAAAGAGACGTTGTTTCTTCCATCCATCCAGGGGCGGGGGGACTGGAGCCTATCCCAGCATCTTTGGGCGAAGGCAGGGGACACCCTGGACCAGTCACCAGTTCATCGCAGGGCTGACATATAGAGACGAACAACCATCCACACTCACATTCACACCTACAGACAATTTGAAAGTGGCCAATTAACCTAACCACACTTATGCATGTTTTTGGGATGTTGTAGGAAACCGGAGTAAACCCATGCAGACACAGGGAGAACGTGCAAACTCCACACAGAAACGCCCTGAGTCGGGTTCGAACCCAGGACCTTGTTGCTGTGAAGCAACAGTGCTAACCACTCCACCACTGTGCCGCCCACATTGTTTCTTAGTTTTTTAAGAAGTTGGAGTACTGTTCTTGTCCCAGTTTACAAGCACCAGGCAAGAATTGAACTGACAGAAGCAGGTCACCCTCCACCATGGTAGGTGGCGAAATACCACCTTTCAAGTCATCTCTCTGTTGACTTATTAGGTATCAAATTTCTGGCAAAACGCGTGAGCAAAAGGCTAACAGGATGTGCAGTGAATGACGAAAATGTCCTCACTTCTACAGCTCTGTACTATATGTTTGTACAATGGGAAATTTGGTCTGTTTTTACATTAGGTTTGTTTGCTACCCGGATTCCTAGCAATGCATTCACACTACCTAAATCCTGACTCAAAGCCTGTTATATGAATACTGGCGAATGCGAATTTAGGTGTTTACATCAAAGCAATGATCAATCCCCAACAGCATTATCCAAGTATGATAGTCTGACTTTGAAAAGTTTGGTTTAGTGTGACTAACAAAAGAATGTCTGCCTTAGCAAGTAACTATCTCCCAGTTGACCCATTTCATCACATACCAAAATAATTTGTAAACAAGCTAGCAAGAGGCTAACTGGATGTTTGGCCAAACTGTGAAAACAGGGACCTGCCATTAGGAAGGTGACAAGGAAAATGTTCAGTAGCACACTAAACAAAAAGGCAGATTTTACGCTTTTCTACAGCAAACATTCACAATGAGTAACTCATTTGTGTTTTTAAAGGAAGCAGAACGGCATATTTTACTGGGAGAAACTTTGTAAATGTAGAGAGCAAGACTTACAAACAAATAAATTGACAGATCCTGGAAGTACGCTTTAGAAGCTCTTAATGTCCCCCTTGTTTCATGGGTTATTTAAATTCTAGCATATTTACCTTTAAATTCTTAATCTTTTACATCTTTCATGCTATTTATCCTCCCATAATGCAATTTTATTGACCTTTCCAGTGATCCTTTCTGTGTGTTTGCCTAATTATTGTTACTTGCAAACAAGTGGTAATTGAAGTTCCTCCCTTGATGTAATTCCTGAAGAGCCAATTGAATTAATGATGATGATAATGAGGATGTTGATGAGGACCTTTTTTCTTTTTCTGTGCCTGCATAGTTAAAAATATATTCACATTCACTATGTGACAGTTAATTTGCTTCACCTGAGTGAAACAAGAGGAATACAGTCTGAAAAAGCAGCCCTACGGTGTTCTGTGGACCCAAATGCTTGGTTATTTTTCATGCTGTGATTGGTTGGATTGAAATACAAAGCGCTTTTTATAGTAATAATCATTGGAGGTTTTAAATTGTTGACAACCTTTTTTTTTTTTTCAAAAGAATAAATCAGAAAACAATTTAAATGAAGTAAAAGAGAAAAGCTATGTGTGTGGTATTATTTATGTATTTTTTGTTTTCTTGTTTTCTCAGGATGTTTCATCATACAGCCCATTATGTCCAATATGGTATTTCCTCTGTGGACATTCGCATTGCTGGAGACAGTTGCCAGCTGTCTACAACTCCCTGCATGCATGGAAGATATCCCTTAAAACGAATTTCACCACACTTGACGTCAATTCCCCAAAATACTGTTAACACTGAGTACTGAGACATAGTGAGAGACACACACACTGAAAAAAAGAGAACATATTCACCCCAAGTGTAGGTGTAGGAACACTGACGTTCTGAGCTTATCTAAACTCGCCTCAAGTGTGAAGATATCAGCATCAAAAAATATAAAAGGGCACAGAGAAACAAAACCAATACAGAAAAGATAATCCTCATGGTAAAAGACTCTGCGGGGGTTCCTTCCAACAATGTACTTACATCAGAGGGATTATCAGAGGGCTGGAAAGCTGGGAGGCGGAAAATCAGTCTAAAATATTAATCATATATTGTTTCCCTGTTTAATTTCCTTACAATTTGCATTTACACTTGGTAATAAGAAAACACAGTTTTCTTGCAAGAATGGGAAGACAGTAATGGATTACTTCATGCACAGACTACACATTGAAACTAACGATAGAACTTTCCAGAATCTATCATATGGTATTAAATAAAATTACAATTATCATGCTGTTACCACTACCTTATTATTTTATCAGCATAACTCAATAATAAGAGGGCTGAGGTAGACAATTCTAGAAGAAAGGTGAGTGTTTACCCCCTAAAGACATTTTCAAAAGTAATGGTATTAATGATGATTTTTACACCGTAATAAATTAACAGAAACAATACAAACAAAAGTAAGCTCCAAAAATACTTCTTCAGACTTGAGTGCTGACATGGTTTTTTGAGAACACAAAGCGTATGATGTCAGGAGGAAAGAAAGAAAGAACAAGAAACAAGGACGGAAAGATCTGGCTGAATATCAAGTCACGATGCAGACTCTAGAGGCAGTGCGTTTATGTTTTCCCTCCAAGCAATAAAATCGGATTCAAAACGTGGTGCATTTTCAGTATCGCTTACGTCAATGATGACTGTACACCTAAACTGATTAACAAACAATCAAACATTGGCAACGAAATAGTTCAGTCGCTGTAGACTGAAGTTTTGAACAAGATTTGTCAAAAAATAGAGTCTATGACGTCAGGAGGAAAGAAAGAAACGACTGAGGAGAGGAAGATTTGGCTCCATGTCAATGCTGAATTCTTTATTCTTTATTCTCTCTGGGAACAAACAAGAAACAAATAAACTAAAAACCCAGATAGAAGTATCATCTACCTGCAGGTTGTTTTCACAAAGGGCAAAACTTCAGTGAAGAAATACTCATATTAATGATATAACCTACCACACTGCTACTATCATCCATCACCACCAAAGGAAATACATATTTATTTAATTATTAAAGTTCATCTGAAGAGTTTTTGACATCCATCAAATAGACTCATGTATTTTTATGAGACACAAAAGCAAAGAAGACCACCATGCAAATATGATTGATAATTCTTATATAGTGATTTTTAATGCCTGAAATCAGTATGAGTAAGTGTCAGCCAAGCAGCAGAACTACAGCTCTGTTTTTACATTTTCAACGCTAAATTATCAGATTGATTGAGACTTTTTGCTAGAAGATACCACCGGGGCATGTAGAGGACAAGATAAGCAAAGACTGCTTTGATCACAGTGGGGAGCCAAAACTGACACAAATTCAAATTACTCACTGAAGCTTTAATTATCAACCTTGTTATTTAAAATCAACGTTTAACTTGGGTATTTATTCTGAAAAATATTCAGCTTTTTATTTAATGTTGTTTTTTCCATACTTCATGATGTGTCCCTCACAAACAACTTAGCTTTAAAGGCTAGCTTTGGTATGTGAACGTAATGAGACTATGGGAGGTCTGTGAATTCCCACTAGAGCATTTACAGTGAGGTTGTTTACCAGAGAATGAAGAAGGACCAAATCCATGCCTTTCCATGGTAAGATGGATCACAGTAACAAGTAAACTTGTCAAAGGATTAATGGATAATAAAGTTCCTTCTGCAGTCTATGATAACGTTAGGTCTAAGCCAGCCTTCTGCACAATTACTTGTGTGTAGACTTTTGTCTGACTTCCCCTGCACTGTTTTGCAACTACTGTCCATGCACCCCCAGTTACCCTCGTAACGAGACAGCTGATCATCCTATGGAGAAAGTTAATGTGTTCTGAGTGCATTGACCTGACTAGGGCGTGTTGGAGAAACAGAGAACAGATGTAGTGTACATTTAGGAGACTACTCATAAAATCCTCCTGTTACATAAACATTACAATCAATCTGTAGCAGACTACATACTCACACATATGGCTCATACAATATGGTTTATAAGGTCTGCAGAGAGTTACACACAGTTCTTTGTTTAGACTCACACAGTAAATTACAGAGTTACATTTACAAAAAAACATGATAAAACTAGAAGCATTTCTGTTTTGTTTGTTATATTCTGATGTGATTAATAAAAGGAAAAGCTTCTCCCCTTGTTCTGTTGTGTGTACAGTGTTCACTTTTGGGAGATAAACAAGTTTTTTTAAACTTTCAAAAACCTAACCTAAGTGGTGCAAAAGCATCTCATCATCAAGACTCTGTCCTTTTACATCCAATGAACACCATCTTACAGCGACATCACAGACTCGTGTACATTTTACATCCTCTGAGATTGTCTACTTCTGCTCCTCAGCTACCATTTCAGAGTGCTACACCCCAAGGGCTACGAGCTGAGAGAGTCTTTGTGTTTCTGAGAGAAGAAAAAACAGTAAAGTGCAGGCAAAAATTCAAAGAAAGAGACAAAGTGTGTGTGTGTATATGAGAGAGAGAGAAAAGGAATCAACACAATGAGGGAAAGTTATGGATTTCGATGAATCAATTCATCCCCTAGTTTGTCTTAGAGGTTTACCACCCTGTTCCACATTGAGATATGTTATTGATTTTTTTTTGTCTATGAGTGATGACAAGAGGGACCAAAACAAACTGTGTTTACATGCGCATGCAGGATCAGCACAATCAATCACACAAAAGATTTTGTCCCACACAGAAGTTTAAAGCCTCTATAAGGAGCTGCTGGTTTGTGCTGAATCTCTTCACTGTATACATATTTTGTTTTTCTTCCAAAAGGCTTTGCTGCTCTCTTTTAACTGTTCGCGATATTACTGATAGTTCTCGCGAGATGGAACAAGATCTCACAAGATCTCATGTGTTTCCCTGTTAATAATTGAATAAGATCTGCTGATTGGTGTATATAAATGGCAGTGTTTATAAACTACCACTTCCCATAACTCTGGCCTCTCCTATTATCAAGCTAGGAACAGCTAAGAACGTATTGACTTTCTTTAGTTTGAAAATTAACTGTAGGCAGCTAGTCTGTAGCCGCATACAACTTCCGCTGCTGCTTGTGCTGCGCTGCACTGGATTGATGCGCCATGCTCCAGCGTCCAGCAAAAATAGAAGCCTTGGGTATCTGATTTGGCAGCCAGAGCTGATCCACAGTGGACGGCGGACGGATTCCGTGGAATGACAAACATTGATTACAATGCTTACGTATTTGATCTGCCTGCCATGCCAGAGTGGAGCCATTCTGGATCCTGTGCGGTTTGCCCGTTATCCCCAAAAGGTCCCTGAGGAACTCAAAAAGCCCAAGAGTGGCAAGACAATACTTGTGTGCCCATAAAATGGCCAGCTGTTAGCAACCATGACACTGCCATGATGAAACATTCAGGTAATTCATTTGATCACCAGAGGAAACATCTACAGACTTGTGTGTGAGAAGCCAAAGGCTTCGGGTGTTGACAGACTATCTTGGCTGAAATGATCTTAAATGTTGCTTGAAAGGAAAGGACTGTGGTAGAGTTTATAAAAAGAGGGTCCAGGGACTGAAAGCTTCAGAACTTGTTTATCCAGTTTGCATGTGTGCAGTGCACTTGGAGAGGGTTTACTATTGGGTTCTTGAGATTAATGAGGGGGCGGGGGTGTTTCCAGTTTGGGAGCCAGTTTGGGAATTTCATCTCAGTTTTTTGCACATGATGTGGGTTTATTGGTTTCATGGGAGTGGTAACTCACTGGGGGGATTGGGAGTTAAGTGCAAATTGGTTAGGATACGGGTGGGCGCCCCATGAGTCTGAGCTGGAAAACAGTAAATCACTCCCTATATGTGGGAAGTGAGTCTCTGCCTCAGGTGACGGAGTTCAAGTCTTTTGGGAGGAGTGGAAGAAATCATCATCAGACCATTGAGGCAAATGCGAAGCTTTTGGTTTTACAAGTTGATCTACTTTTCAATCCTGGCATGTCCAACTGAGTGGAGACCCTAGGGTAGACAACAAGTTTTCTGCGGGGATTGCACATACTGCTTGAAACCTCCCTTTAGAAAAAGTGGAGCTGGGGGACATCAGAGACCGATCAACATGCTTTGCTGCTGGCGCTGTGTTCTGGCCATGGATAAGCAGAAATAAATGGATGGATGGACTTTCACTTGGCACCAACACGAGTAGTCCTGGGACTTGAGTGTTAATGGCCCACTGCCAAGCAATTCAGACATTTTCTGTATCCCACTCACACATCATGAGTGCTGGTGATGTTATACCACACATCAGCATTCATGAAACGACTCTTTTCCAATTAAATTGTGCAAGAGCTGTTACACCACTGCAGAGACGTTTGCATTAAAGTTGGACTGAACTTAGTAACCAGGTTAGTAATGACTGTGGTCACCCAGGTTAAGGACATGTCCCAAGTATTCTCTGATGTCATGTGTTAACCTCATTTCTCCCTCCAACCTGGTTTCTTGTGTGTATTCAATGACAGTGAAAGATTAGAGCAGTTGACCTGAAACTTTTCTACAAAATACATTTAGGAGATACCACATCCTCCTCGGGCAGAAATACATTCCTTAAAAAACATCTCTTAAAAATTCCTCCAAGGCTTTTTCAGCAACGCCCCTCCTGGGCCCTGCTGCTTCTTCTGCATGAGTGAACAAGAGTGGAAGACAGAGCGGGAGGAAAAGAAAAGGTGAAGGTGGTCAATAACTGTGTCTGTCTTTCTCTGTCTGCTAGTGTTTGAGCGCGTGTGCTCCTCTTAAATAAAAGAAGGGGTAGGGGAGGAGGAGAAAAATAATTGTGTGATTGTTTTTTTATAGAGCCTTCCTAAGAGATTCAGATTCGGATTCATTAATCCAAAAGCAGGTTGTATGCCCTCTCTCAGGATATTTGGGGGGAAACAATACAGCACAGGAAATAAAGCAGCTACACTTGACTCTCCATCTTTTCGCTTATTTTCTATAATTTCTTTGCCTCACTCTCTTTTTTTTCTCATAGACCTTCCCCCCACTGAAATAAACACTGGATTTGAGCACTTTACTGAGAAGATGTATGAAAAATGCAGTGAGTTAAGTTGTTTTGACAAGTTCAGTTGAGGTTTATGTAGCAACAAAATGATCTAATTTGAAGCCTGTATTTAAATAACAGTGTTAATATTCTATTACATACCGTTGCATGAAATGTTATGACAGCCGCTGCAATCAAACCTCCTGTTTCTTCTGCACCAGACAGTTTGTGTTTGATTTGTTTGGGTCAGAGTTGCATGGGGGTTTGTGTGATTTTTTAAGGTAAAAATACAGAGGCCGACAAAGGCAGACAGTGTGCAACAGGGGCAGATGATCTGCAGTAACTCAAACAATATTTATATTTATGAAGATATGGCTGTTTTGCATCATTTGTCTACTTTTGTGCATTATTATGTTGCATCATTTACATATTTCCAGTGTGATATACTGTTTATGCAATGTTTTTAGAACAACTTTGTTAATTGTTTGCAGGACATCTGTGTAGTTCTTATCAACCCTTGTATGTATTTTTGAAGTTTACAGCATTAGCATTTACAGGCCATTGCAAATCATCTGCCTAAAAAGTCACTAGAAAAGTAACATATAACAGCTCCCTTCACCATGAGCAGTGACACTGATTTTTTTTTTCGTGGCTTCTGCAGGGAATGCATAATGTTACAGCATGTTTTTTTTTTCCTCAACTTCCAGCTGAACCACACTCGGAGAGAAAATGCTCAAGCGCTAGACAAGAACTGCTCCAAACACAAACAGTGTGAAAACAGATTTTGAGGTGCTTTGCAGAAGAACTGGAGCCTACACACACCCACAACTTCCTCAAGTGTATAACAGCGTCTTGCACACTAAAAGCCCACAAACACACACATAGAAATCCAACTACTTACATTTTTTTTTGTCTATACCTTTACTTGACCAGAAAGGTCATTCCTATTCCCATTATCATTCCTATTTACATGAATGGCCTTGCAGCTTCACATTTGTCTCCTGATAAATTTGACAGCACCTTAAAACATACATGCACATCATTTCTACAGCTACACCAAAAGCATTGGATTATGTGACATTTTACGTCTAATCCCTCAAGGGCTTTTTTTTTCTTTAGCGCAGAGGCTTTAACCACGAGAAGGGATTTAGAGTTTATGCTCACAGATACTTAAAGCTACTGGTTATTTGAGGACACTCCTGCAAAGGAGGCAGTGAGACAGCTTCCTGTTTAAGGCCACTGTAAACAATGTTATTCATGGATTTCAGGTTATTTGTCACAGTAACTGTGAAAACGGCTGTATGGTTTCATTTTGGTGGGGCAGGAGGCCATTATGTAAATAAGTTACAATGAAGAAAAGCAGGTTAATTTTGAGTGATACATTTGCATACTTTAAGATTTTGTGGTAATCTGTAAATTGTGAGATTTAAGATTAAAGCTCTTGTGAGAAGTTTTTTTGTTTTTGAAAAAAGGCTACAGTTCATATCGATGCCTTGTCATGATATCCCAAAGCAAACAAGACCATCAACAATAGGACTGACAACTTGTTATATCTTAATTTTAAGCCTAAAACCAGTGTGAAGGGGTAGGTGTTGGCTAAGCAGCTAATGTTTTTACAGTTTCCACTTCAAATATAGACAGTTAGTGGTACATTTGACTGCCAAAAGTCAGCAGGGTGAGATTTTCTGTCAGAAATTACAACTTAAAGCTCCTGGAAGAAACTTTAGTTTTGCCATGTTTTGGGGCCCCTGTGGACAAAGAGGTCTTCTTATGTCATGTCTTCTGACTAATATCTCATCTTGCTGTTTTTTGACAGTATAATAAACCATCTATTTTGAATATTTTATATGAAGAGCAAAAACTAAGTTGTTTGTTTAGCTAGTCCACTGAAACCACCTCACACTGCTTTTAGGCATTGAAAAATATAAAATACAATTGGACAATTTTGTTGCTGATGGTCTTATTTGCTTTTGTATATCATTTAAAAAAGGCATGGATATGAATTTTAATTTACATAATATATTTATGTCAAAAATTCACTAACAGTAGCTTTAATTGAAATCAACAAAGTAAATGTGACTTAGATTCAATACTGTATATAACCCCTTCAAAAGTGAGACCCATTCTCACGCTAGAAGCCTTGATTTCTCTTTTTTTCTCTATTAAATCTTTCTTTCCAGGAGTGATTGAGACATTTCAAATAATGACTTTACCAATTACTTTCACCCCAAAAAGACAGGATCCTCCCATGAGTGGGAGCAATCATCATCACTGTGAGAGACTCCTCTCAAGCAGTCTCACACTATGTTATCCTGAAGGATAGCTTCAAGTGTATTGCAGGTTACGTCTTCCAAACAGTGAACCACTTGCCCTTTCTTGCATCAAACCCAGATCCACCACATCCTGTCAAGAAGTAAACAGGTATAGTCACTGTGTAGACTGAAGGCATGAAATAAATTGCAGGTTTGTCTGCACGTTAACGTGTAATTGTTCCCCACTTATTTCTGAACTGTATGAGCGTGATTTATGTCGGCAAAACAATGTCTGACAAGTGAACCGCTCTTCACCCAAACCTGCTGAATTGAACAGACTGCACCTGCAGGCGCCCTGTAAGCTTCAGCATGCAAACAGCATACAGATACATACACTCATGCACGAATACATACAAACACTTTCACGAGTGTGCAAACAGAGGTGCGTACTCGCTGGTATGTATATGACATGCAGAGGTGTTCGTGCATTCACACACCTGTGATAATTATAGGAAGTGCGATCACGCCTGACTACACAAGGACAGTGCTGCATGTTGGTGTTGACACACAAATGACACACCGCTGCTCACACACAAACACACACACACACACACACATATTTTCTGGTATACACCTGTGGGAAAATGAAGAGAGGCTCTGACACAGTTGGTTGCACAAGGTCAAACCCTGCATGTGAGTATGCAAACCACACACGTACACACTTCAATTCACAACCGCACACACAAATTAGACCATACAAATGCTTCCTGGCACTTGGATTTAACTACAGGGGGTGAGGAGAGAGGGAAAACAGGAGGGGGAGAGAGAGAGAAAGATGGAGTAAAGTGGAGAGGAGGAACAAAGGGCTGAGAGAAAGAGTGAGTTAATTGGACGAATGATTGAACAGAAAAGACAAAGAAGAGGAAGGGTGCACTAAAAATCGAGGAATTAAAGGGATTGAGTAAAACCCTTAAATTTACGTGGTCATTAACTGTGTTCAGTAATTCTTAAACTTTCCAACCTACAGCAATCAATACAGGGTAGTTTAATTTAAAAAAGAGGAAATCTTAGTGGGCATTTAAAGGTAAAAGTAAAAGCAGGTCAATCAAAACCAACACAATAGTAAACAGATACGATCTTAAACATTTAACTGAGTGCAAAACAGGAATTTCACTTCTTACTGCATCTCTACACACTGTAAAAACACACTATTTTACACTTTATATTATAGTTAGCTATTGGATAACACTTTACTTGATGCCTATCTCTAAAATGCATTATAAATATATTAATAATGTGTTATAATCACATAAAAGCACTGTATAATTATAGTTATAAACACTCATAAATGATCATAATGCTTTATAGCAATAATCATAACACATTATAAAGCATTTTATCACGACTTACAAGGTCAGGTATTATGATGTGTTATGCTTATTGTTATAAAGCCTTATGATAATTAATGAGTGTTTATAATGATAGTTATACAAGTTTATAAGCAAATTATAACACATCGTAAATAAATGTATAATGCATTATCTATGTGGGCATTGTCAGTGAGTTGTTAACAGTTATGACACATTATAATACCTGACCTTGTAAGTCATTATAAAATGCTTTATGATGTGTTATGATTATAAAGCATTATGATGATTTATGAGTGTTTATAACTATAGTTATACAGTGCTTTAACCTGATTATAACGCATTACACATATATTTATGATGTGTTATAGAGATAGGCGTCAAGTAAAGTGTTGCCGTTTATTGTATTGTTCACATTGAATGAGCTGGATTGAACCAAAAGATGAAATAAAAAGGACTGAATCACTCAGATTACACAAATGAGTCTGTCCCTCGCTCGGTACCACGCTGAGTTTTTGTCTATGTTTTACTGCAGAGCTTTCCACTTGTGATTGGATTAGCCAGTTATCATCGCTAATACCAAGCAGCAACCTCCGGGCTGAATAAATGAAGCCGCTGGGGAAGTACAAAAAAAAAATCTGCAACTCCCTGAGTATTTACCCGAGGCTGGTCCCAAAAGTCAATGAAACCCCATTAGGATGTGTGTGAAAATGTTCATCTGTACAGCAGTTATAAAAAAAATGTTTACAGCCTGTTTAAAGATTAATTTTGGCCAATGTAGCTCATATCTATATTTGCACACACCATAAAGAGAGTGATCTTTTTCATGACATATTTATTATGAGGTATGGGTTAAGTTCTACATGCATATGCATTATTCACAGGCATGGCTGAGTTGACTGACAGGCAGGTACATTATCAGAGAGACTGCTAAATGTACTACTACTTAGTACATTTTGCAGAGAAACTGTGACAGCACACATACGTCACCACACGTGCATGCACATACAGAGTAGTATGCACATAAATACATAATCTGCACATAATGAGTATATGCAGAGCTTTTGATGTTCTGTCTGCTTTCATTCCCTCTGCTCACTCCTCCTCTCATCCCGCTTACAAGCCTTCAAGATATTTGTGATTTCTCTGAATGTAGTTCATGCAAACATGGAAATCTGGATGTGCACACTGACAGTGAATCTGGGTGATTCTCTGTCAGTGTGTACATTGCTGTTCGTGTTTGAGGGCAGTGGCGTGTGCTTGAAGGATGCCGTGGTTTGTTAGCAGACAGTAATGGTTGGCATCAGTATGAGGAACAGGGTGGAGGGGATTGGAAGAGGAGGGGCGATGAGAGACCTTAATAACTCAGCTCCTGGCACAGATTGTTAAAATTGAAAGTATCGCAAATTACTTGTGAAATAAACTTCCAGTGAACTTTTCAGTGCTGCCAAATATTTTTTTTCTGCAGAAAAGATGTATGCCACAAACAAATATTTGCTGTGAGAAACTTCATTAACACAGTAGAAAGAGTTTCGTGACATAGATACATTATATATCAATGAATACAAATGTCCTTAAAAAAAAGTTCAACAATAGAAGCCAGAAATTGTGTCTGCAACAGAATGACTCAGAGTTCCCGCTTGGTCTCTTTTCATTTTAAGTGTTTTTTAGAGGTTTTGAATTTTAATGAAGTACAGCACAGTCTCACTTGCGCTGTTTTGAAACCTATTAAACAGCAGGCAAATGTCAAACTACATATAACATGGTACAACCAGGACTAAGGACAGGAACAGCCTAAGAGTTTTCACCAAGAGTTTTCCCTAAGAGGCTTTAAATTAAAGAATATATATAATCAAAATGCCCCATGTTAAAATGAATATATTTAAGTGAATGACCCTTCAGATTTTGTTAGATGTATACTGTCGGTATCCATGCATACATATATCAATACCAACAGTGTTTATTATCTTCATCACCTTCATTGTCAGAGCTGGGTTGGGTTGTGGTGGCAGCAGGCAAAGCAAGTTGCCCCAAACATCCTACTCCCCAGCGATACTTTCTAGTTCATGTTAGTTCATGTTAGTCATGCTAGTTCAACACACCTGATTCAAATGATCAGCTCGTTATCAAGCTCTGTAATGGCTAAATAACGAGCTGATCATTTGAATCAGGTGTGTTGGAGCAGGGAATCATCCAAAACATGCAGGACAGTGGGCCACTGATGTTGAGGAATGACCAGACAGGATATACTGTACAATCTCTGCAGGTCCAAAGCCCACCCTCTTGTCTTCCTCTAGTTGGAATTGCCCAGAACACACCCAAAGGGAGGTGCCTCAGAGGTATCCACATCAGATGCCCGAACCACCTTACCTGGCTCCTTTCAACGCGAAGGAAAAGCAGCTTCTCCCTTAAGCTCTCCCCATGTGTATGAGCTTCAGACTCTATCTCTGAGGCCGGGCATGGACATTCTTTGGAAATAAGAAAAAACCACACATCTCAGCTGTCTGTATTCGCAGTCTCATTCTATCACTTACTACCCACAGCTCATGATCACAGGGGAGGGTTGGAACAAAGATTGACCAGTAAATCAAAAGCTTTGCTTTCAGGCTCAGTACCCTCTTCAGCACAGCGGTCTGTTGCAATACCTGTATTATATCTGACACTTGAGACTATCTCCCCATCTATTTCACCCTCACTTGTGAACAAGACCATGAGTTACTTAAACTCTTCACTAACCCCAGAGGGAGCAATACACTGTGAGAACTGTGACCTCTGACCTGAGAAACATAAGGGAGTTGTCAATGAAAATCCACAGTAGGACCAATAGCAGCAGGTATTTACACGAACCATACTCTGAGTCTAGAGGAGAAATGCTTTAAGCTGTGTGAGGATTTTTTATTGCATGTAGCAGAAAGAACTGTATGTTGTGAATTTAATGGTTTCTTTTAATTGTCATTTTTACATAATCCCTCAATAATCCCTCTAACACTGTATTTTCATGAAGATCGACTTTATCAATCCATGAAAGGACAGATATTGGCTCAAGAAAGCTGCCTATGCACACCTCTAACATTTGGGGCTCACTGCTTTCCTGAAAAGGTACCTCAGCAGCGCCAAGAAACTTAAGTGGCAACTCTCTAGAAACCAGCCCAATTCCCAGATTGACTCACTGTGTTGAGGTTCTTGAACCAGTGACCCACCAGTTCCCAAGCCAAGTCCCCACACTGACTGGGATACATCCACCTTGAGACGGGCTTATATTGGCCCTGGCCAGGCTTTGTGAGTGTGTACACTAACCCTGAACTGACATAAGCCTCTGCACTGCTGCAACAATCAAGTTCCTTCCCCTGGGGATCAATACAGTGTGGGTTTAAGTGACAAAGACTTTCTGTTCAAGTACAGTAGGCCCTACAGCTAAAATGGGGTCTTAGCAGTACAGCACGGTGCAGTGGAGTGCAAACGATACAATCAGTCCCTCTGGCCAAAACAGTGGGAGTACACAGCAGAGTGCGCCGCAGAGAGGCAGGAATCTTGAATCAGCTGAGTTTGTCATCTGAAATTACAGTTATTTTAGTGTTAGGGTTTGTTTCAGCTCACTGGATTGTTGATTTACGGTGAACTGACTCAGACTTTAACAACTTGGAGCCTGTGGAGTAAGGAGGCAGGGGATTATTGAGTAGTGGGGCAGAGGAAACAAGTGCTGTGATGGGAATACAAAGAACGACAAAGCAGAGACTGGAGCAGAATGAGTGCTTTATAATATCTGGTTGTTATTAAACTTTCATATGAATAATTCTGGTTTTGATTCAAAGTGGGTTGTAATTTTTTTTATATTATGTCCCCCAAACTGATTTACTGCCAGGCTCAGTAATGATTGAAATCCCAAAATGTTTGTCTCTTAATAGTTTATTTTACTCCTCGTCTGAAAGAGAATTTGAATCCCAGTTGAGTAGCAAGTAGAAGATCCTTACTAGGATCTATATTTAAAAATTTACTCTGATAAAACTTGCCAAGTTAAAATCAATCTAGTTTCCATAAATCCACCAAGATTCATTTCTCAAATATGCAAACCCAGCTTTCATAGTTTGTCTAGACAACTCAGAGACAGTCTGGTCTATAGAGATTTTCCTGTTTGCATCACCAGCTGTTCCTGCCCTGAGACATATTTCGTACCCCCCACAACACGGGGCTAGCTGGCTACATATAGGTCACTTGACCACCACTGCTATAATTTAAAAAATCCAATCCAATCCAATTCACTTTATTTATATAGCATATTAAAAAAAATTCAAGTTTACCAAAGTGCTGCACAATAAAATTGAAAGAACAGACAATGCAGAAAACATCAAGAGGAAATAAATGAAAGCAGGTAAAACACATTTAAAATGAAATAAAAACACAAAAGCGTAAAAGAAATAAAAGAGATCATCAAAGATCATAAAATCATAAAAGGGATCATAAAAGACATAAAACGAAAGAGGTCACACAACTCTCATGCTGAGCTAAAAGCCAAGGAATAAAAATGAGTTTCAAGACATGATTTAAAAGTAGAAAGAGTGGGGGATGTTGAGATGTCAAGTGGCAATTTGTTGATAACCAGTTGGAGGAACTAATAACATTTTTAAATGAATCCTAAAATGAACGGGAAGCCAATGGAGGGACGCCAGAATTGGAGTGATGTGGTCATGTTTTATTTACCTGTTAAAAGACGAGCAGCAGAATTTTGGACTAACTGTAAACTTGTGATGGAAGCCTGATTTACACCAATGTAAAGAGCATTACAGAATTCCAGCCCTGTGGAAATAAAAGCATGAATTACTCGCTTAAAATCATTAAAAGAAAAAACTGATTCAATCTCAGATAAAAGCCTAAGATGATAAAAACTGGATTTAACAACAGAGTTGATTTGTTGATCCAACTTAAAATCATTGTTAACTTTTACACCAAGATTCAAAACTGTGGGTTTAAAATAAGGTACAAGAGCCACAATCAAGTTTCAAGGCTCCTGTCATTGTTAAACTTTGTATCACTTGCTGTTTCAATGAGTTTAAACAGTAAAACTCGGCGTACCTTGGGTGAAGTGCTTGAAACAGTCACTGCAGCTTTGGAAAAGTTGTATGCACTTGTTGGACACATTTGAAGGAGCCTTTAAAATGTGACTGTCGGTCTTAACCCTTTAAAAAAAGTGTGGTCACCAGGTTACAGGTTTGGAACAAAACCATGCTGTATGTCACATTGGCATCAGGTGTGAAGCCCACAGCAACACACTTGCAGACAAAAGGGTCTGATGTTGAAAGAAAACCTTCAAATTTTCTCAGGACCCAGTATTTTTTTCTTTTTGTCAAATGTGTGCTGCAAGCAAAGAAAAACAAGCTCCAGCAAGAGAAGAGAAATCACTGTTAGACACCACCAAGTTGTAGTAGGTGCAGCAGAAAAAAACTAAGGAATCAAAAAGGATTTAAAAAAAAGAGGAGAGAAAAAGAAAAGAACACAAGGGACACTAGGGGTGGACATGGGGAATAGATAGCCAGGGGCCTGGAGAGACTTGGCAACACTTTGACACAACAAAGGCCAGAAGCGCACTACTGCCGAACAAAACACCGAGCGGCTGCCAGAGGGAAGGCTGGGTGAGAGGGGAGGAGAGACAACAGAGACAGACAGATGAGAGAGTTTGTGTTGGGAATGTGTTGGCAGGGCTGCAGACTATCCAGAGGACAGGCAGAACATAACTGTGAGCTAAAATCAGATCCAAGTTCAGCAGAAGGGCAAGAAAATAGAGGGAGAAACGGAAACGGGCATTACTGACATTATGACAACATTTTGAGACGTTTTAATCAAAAGCAGGTTTACAAAAAACAATTGCACACCGTGAAATTGTAGTATTTCGTTAAGAGCCAACACTGAAAGCTACACCTGATGACTGGCTGCAGTTAAGATAATAAATCCTGCCTTTATAAAACAAACCAATAAACAAAGAAAATGTCCTCAGTTTTTGTCTGACTTCAGCCCTGCTATCACATAATAGGACCACCTGTAGCTAAGCAAAGTAGAGTACTCACCGTAAAGTACATCACCAGCAATGGTGTGTCCAGACTTTTTGACTTGGAACTGGGGAGTTGACTTCGAAAATGATGGTATAAAGTGTGCAAGCTCTTACAGCTGTAAATATCATGTACTGTGGGATTTCTGGTGTAACACAAGCCATATAGTCAAGATTAACTGTCTTTCCTCTGATAAGGCAAGGTGCCAAGTGGAATGATGTTTTGAGTTTTTCCACACATTAGTCACTTTTTTCACTCTTGTCCTTGACAAGTATCTAATGTAGACCATAGAGTTTTGGGTTTTGGTTTTGATTTTGACAACTGGGATGGCCGATCAGATTTCAACTGGGAGACAGGCCAGCCTTGAATGTGCCTGTGCAAATAGGTCAACAAATATGACATCTAAATATACATTGGAGTTAGAGTTAAATTTTCTTTAAAGTTCAATTATTGTAGACATATCTTTCTGATCAGCATGAATCTTTGGTCAGCTTTTATGACAAAGGGTGTAGATCAGTGGCGATTGCTCTAAGACTGCAAGGGAAGCTCGGCTTCCCTTAAAATGTCACCCCCCAAAAAAAAGAAAAAGTGGTGAAATACGTACTGCTGTGTGTACATTTCATTAACTAAATACGCGCTAGAAAGCCTTCATCTTTTGTTCAGACACTGTGATAAGAAGCTGATAATTATAGGTAACCGGCATAACTTCGTTCTCATTCATCCTCGCAGCGCCTCAGCGCTTTAAACAGCCGGACGCTGGGCTTCTGCTGACTTCAATGTGGAAGCTAAAAGTGGGTTGTTCCAGCAGCGAAACTAGACGCTCATTGGATAAATGCTGGGCTTTGTCCCGCCCAATGGAAGCTAAGCTTCACTGGAGTTCTATGGCGAGAGGGCGGTCCCGACTTTCTCCCGGACTGCAAGCTTCTGCATCCATGATTGGATGAGCTGTCTGAGGCGAAATCCTTTTTTGATTGACAGCTAAACAAGCGAATAAGCGATCTTGAAGAATAAAACATCTACCAGAGCATTTTCCAAGTCATTCATTCCGTTGTTCTTAACTGCTCCGGAGACTTTACCGATCCTCAGCGACTTCTGTCTTTATTAAAAACGACTGCCGTTGTGTTTGGCGACTCTGTTCTGTTACATACTAATAAACAAATACAATTATGATGTAGGCCAGAAAAATGAGCTTCCCCTCATTGAAAGACCAGCAGCCGCCACTGGTGTAGATGTTTCGAAATCAAGCAGGTACAACTAAAGGTATATTTTGAGGATGGAGCAGATGCTTGATCATACATTTGATGTTTCTTCCACAAGTTTTTTCTTTTCACCCAGCCTAAAAGTCCTGATTATCAGTTCTGGGTTCCTGGCAATGACTGTTGGGTACAAACTGAAAACCTTTGTTCTGCAGGTAGGGCTGGGCTTTTCACTGACCATGGAGGTGGATTAGTTGTGTGGGCAAAGTGTGTCATCATAGCCACTATGTTTTCTGCACTTGGAGTAGACAGCACCTTGATAGCTCAGTTGGTAGAGCAGAGGACTGTAGGCAGTTCCTCCTATGAAGTGCTGTCGTTCCAAGGTCGCTGGTTCAACTCCCTCTCAAAGCAAGCCTTGTCTTCATCTGTCAGCTCCTCCAAAATTTAATAACACAAACAAGATAACTCCTACTTTATATTCCAACCATCAATTTTTTATTCACCCAGCCTAAAAGTCCTGATCATCAGTTCTGGGTCCCTGGCAATGACTGTTGGGTACAAACTGAGAAGCTGTGCTCTGAAGGTAGGGCTGGGCTTTTCACTGACCATGTAGGTGGATTAGTTGTGTGGGCAAAGTGTGTCATCATAGCCACTATGTGTTCTGCACTTGGAGTAGACAGCACCTTGATAGCTCAGTTGGTAGAGCAGTGGACTGTATGCAGTTCCTCCTATGAAGTGCTGTCGTTCCAAGGTCGCTGGTTCAACTCCCGCTCAAAGCAAGCCTTGTCTTCATCTGTCAGCTCCTCCAAAATTTAAAAACACAAACAAGATAACTCCTACTTTATTTTCCAACCATCAATTTTTTATTCACCCAGCCTAAAAGTCCTGATCATCAGTTCTGGGTCCCTGGCAATGACTGTTGGGTACAAACTGAGAAGCTGTGCTCTGAAGGTAGGGCTGGGCTTTTCACTGACCATGTAGGTGGATTAGTTGTGTGGGCAAAGTGTGTCATCATAGCCACTATGTTTTCTGCACTTGGAGTAGACAGCACCTTGATAGCTCAGTTGGTAGAGCAGAGGACTGTAGGCAGTTCCTCCTATGAAGTGCTGTCGTTCCAGGGTCGCTGGTTCAACTGGCACTCAAAGCAAGCCTTGTGTTCATCTGTCAGCTCCTCCAAAATTTAAAAACACAAACAAGATAACTCCTACTTTATTTTCCAACCATCAATTTTTTATTCACCCAGCCTAAAAGTCCTGATTATCAGTTCTGGGTCCCTGGCAATGACTGTTGGGTACAAACTGAGAAGCTGCGCTCTGAAGGTAGGGCTGGGCTTTTCACTGACCATGTAGGTGGATTAGTTGTGTGGGCAAAGTGTGTCATCATAGCCACTATGTTTTCTGCACTTGGAGTAGACAGCATCTTGATAGCTCAGTTGGTAGAGCAGGGGACTGTAGGCAGTTCCTCCTATGAAGTGCTGTGGTTCCAAGGTCGCTGGTTCAACTCCCGCTCAAAGCAAGCCTTGTCTTCATCTGTCAGCTCCTCCAAAATTTAAAAACACAAACAAGATAACTCCTACTTGATTTTCCAACCATCAATTTTTTATTCACCCAGCCTAAAAGTCCTGATTATCAGTTCTGGGTCCCTGGCAATGACTGTTGGGTACAAACTGAGAAGCTGCGCTCTGAAGGTAGGGCTGGGCTTTTCACTGACCATGTAGGTGGATTAGTTGTGTGGGCAAAGTGTGTCATCATAGCCACTATGTTTTCTGCACTTGGAGTAGACAGCATCTTGATAGCTCAGTTGGTAGAGCAGAGGACTGTAGGCAGTTCCTCCTATGAAGTGCTGTCGTTTCAAGGTCGCTGGTTCAACTCCCGCTCAAAGCAAGCCTTGTCTTCATCTGTCAGCTCCTCCAAAATTTAAAAACACAAACAAGATAACTCCTACTTTATTTTCCAACCATCAATTTTTTATTCACCCAGCCTAAAAGTCCTGATTATCAGTTCTGGGTCCCTGGCAATGACTGTTGGGTACAAACTGAGAAGCTGTGCTCTGAAGGTAGGGCTGGGCTTTTCACTGACCATGTAGGTGGATTAGTTGTGTGGGCAAAGTGTGTCATCATAGCCACTATGTTTTCTGCACTTGGAGTAGACAGCACCTTGATAGCTCAGTTGGTAGAGCAGAGGACTGTAGCCAGTTCCTCCTATGAAGTGCTGTCGTTCCAGGGTCGCTGGTTCAACTCCCGCTCAAAGCAAGCCTTGTGTTCATCTGTCAGCTCCTCCAAAATTTAAAAACACAAACAAGATAACTCCTACTTTATTTTCCAACCATCAATTTTTTATTCACCCAGCCTAAAAGTCCTGATTATCAGTTCTGGGTCCCTGGCAATGACTGTTGGGTACAAACTGAGAAGCTGCGCTCTGAAGGTAGGGCTGGGCTTTTCACTGACCATGTAGGTGGATTAGTTGTGTGGGCAAAGTGTGTCATCATAGCCACTATGTTTTCTGCACTTGGAGTAGACAGCACCTTGATAGCTCAGTTGGTAGAGCAGAGGACTGTAGGCAGTTCCTCCTATGAAGTGCTGTCGTTCCAAGGTCGCTGGTTCAACTCCCGCTCAAAGCAAGCCTTGTCTTCATCTGTCAGCTCCTCCAAAATTTAAAAACACAAACAAGATAACTCCTACTTTATTTTCCAACCATCAATTTTTTATTCACCCAGCCTAAAAGTCCTGATTATCAGTTCTGGGTCCCTGGCAATGACTGTTGGGTACAAACTGAGAAGCTGTGCTCTGAAGGTAGGGCTGGGCTTTTCACTGACCATGTAGGTGGATTAGTTGTGTGGGCAAAGTGTGTCATCATAGCCACTATGTTTTCTGCACTTGGAGTAGACAGCACCTTGATAGCTCAGTTGGTAGAGCAGAGGACTGTAGGCAGTTCCTCCTATGAAGTGCTGTCGTTCCAAGGTCGCTGGTTCAACTCCCGCTCAAAGCAAGCCTTGTCTTCATCTGTCAGCTCCTCCAAAATTTAAAAACACAAACAAGATAACTCCTACTTTATTTTCCAACCATCAATTTTTTATTCACCCAGCCTAAAAGTCCTGATTATCAGTTCTGGGTCCCTGGCAATGACTGTTGGGTACAAACTGAGAAGCTGTGCTCTGAAGGTAGGGCTGGGCTTTTCACTGACCATGTAGGTGGATTAGTTGTGTGGGCAAAGTGTGTCATCATAGCCACTATGTTTTCTGCACTTGGAGTAGACAGCACCTTGATAGCTCAGTTGGTAGAGCAGAGGACTGTAGGCAGTTCCTCCTATGAAGTGCTGTGGTTCCAAGGTCGCTGGTTCAACTCCCGCTCAAAGCAAGCCTTGTCTTCATCTGTCAGCTCCTCCAAAATTTAAAAACACAAACAAGATAACTCCTACTTTATTTTCCAACCATCAATTTTTTATTCACCCAGCCTAAAAGTCCTGATTATCAGTTCTGGGTCCCTGGCAATGACTGTTGGGTACAAACTGAGAAGCTGCGCTCTGAAGGTAGGGCTGGGCTTTTCACTGACCATGTAGGTGGATTAGTTGTGTGGGCAAAGTGTGTCATCATAGCCACTATGTTTTCTGCACTTGGAGTAGACAGCACCTTGATAGCTCAGTTGGTAGAGCAGAGGACTGTAGGCAGTTCCTCCTATGAAGTGCTGTGGTTCCAAGGTCGCTGGTTCAACTCCCGCTCAAAGCAAGCCTTGTGTTCATCTGTCAGCTCCTCCAAAATTTAAAAACACAAACAAGATAACTCCTACTTTATTTTCCAACCATCAATTTTTTATTCACCCAGCCTAAAAGTCCTGATTATCAGTTCTGGGTCCCTGGCAATGACTGTTGGGTACAAACTGAGAAGCTGTGCTCTGAAGGTAGGGCTGGGCTTTTCACTGACCATGTAGGTGGATTAGTTGTGTGGGCAAAGTGTGTCATCATAGCCACTATGTTTTCTGCACTTGGAGTAGACAGCACCTTGATAGCTCAGTTGGTAGAGCAGAGGACTGTAGGCAGTTCCTCCTATGAAGTGCTGTCGTTCCAAGGTCGCTGGTTCAACTCCCGCTCAAAGCAAGCCTTGTGTTCATCTGTCAGCTCCTCCAAAATTTAAAAACACAAACAAGATAACTCCTACTTTATTTTCCAACCATCAATTTTTTATTCACCCAGCCTAAAAGTCCTGATTATCAGTTCTGGGTCCCTGGCAATGACTGTTGGGTACAAACTGAGAAGCTGTGCTCTGAAGGTAGGGCTGGGCTTTTCACTGACCATGTAGGTGGATTAGTTGTGTGGGCAAAGTGTGTCATCATAGCCACTATGTTTTCTGCACTTGGAGTAGACAGCACCTTGATAGCTCAGTTGGTAGAGCAGAGGACTGTAGGCAGTTCCTCCTATGAAGTGCTGTCGTTCCAAGGTCGCTGGTTCAACTCCCGCTCAAAGCAAGCCTTGACTTCATCTGTCAGCTCCTCCAAAATTTAAAAACACAAACAAGATAACTCCTACTTTATTTTCCAACCATCAATTTTTTATTCACCCAGCCTAAAAGTCCTGATTATCAGTTCTGGGTCCCTGGCAATGACTGTTGGGTACAAACTGAGAAGCTGTGCTCTGAAGGTAGGGCTGGGCTTTTCACTGACCATGTAGGTGGATTAGTTGTGTGGGCAAAGTGTGTCATCATAGCCACTATGTTTTCTGCACTTGGAGTAGACAGCACCTTGATAGCTCAGTTGGTAGAGCAGAGGACTGTAGGCAGTTCCTCCTATGAAGTGCTGTGGTTCCAAGGTCGCTGGTTCAACTCCCGCTCAAAGCAAGCCTTGTCTTCATCTTTCAGCTCCTCCAAAATTTAAAAACACAAACAAGATAACTCCTACTTTATTTTCCAACCATCAATTTTTTATTCACCCAGCCTAAAAGTCCTGATTATCAGTTCTGGGTCCCTGGCAATGACTGTTGGGTACAAACTGAGAAGCTGCGCTCTGAAGGTAGGGCTGGGCTTTTCACTGACCATGTAGGTGGATTAGTTGTGTGGGCAAAGTGTGTCATCATAGCCACTATGTTTTCTGCACTTGGAGTAGACAGCATCTTGATAGCTCAGTTGGTAGAGCAGAGGACTGTAGGCAGTTCCTCCTATGAAGTGCTGTCGTTCCAGGGTCGCTGGTTCAACTCCCGCTCAAAGCAAGCCTTGTGTTCATCTGTCAGCTCCTCCAAAATTTAAAAACACAAACAAGATAACTCCTACTTTATTTTCCAACCATCAATTTTTTATTCACCCAGCCTAAAAGTCCTGATTATCAGTTCTGGGTCCCTGGCAATGACTGTTGGGTACAAACTGAGAAGCTGCGCTCTGAAGGTAGGGCTGGGCTTTTCACTGACCATGTAGGTGGATTAGTTGTGTGGGCAAAGTGTGTCATCATAGCCACTATGTTTTCTGCACTTGGAGTAGACAGCATCTTGATAGCTCAGTTGGTAGAGCAGAGCACTGTAGGCAGTTCCTCCTATGAAGTGCTGTGGTTTCAAGGTCGCTGGTTCAACTCCCGCTCAAAGCAAGCCTTTTCTTCATCTGTCAGCTCCTCCAAAATTTAAAAACACAAACAAGATAACTCCTACTTTATTTTCCAACCATCAATTTTTTATTCACCCAGCCTAAAAGTCCTGATTATCAGTTCTGGGTCCCTGGCAATGACTGTTGGGTACAAACTGAGAAGCTGTGCTCTGAAGGTAGGGCTGGGCTTTTCACTGACCATGTAGGTGGATTAGTTGTGTGGGCAAAGTGTGTCATCATAGCCACTATGTTTTCTGCACTTGGAGTAGACAGCACCTTGATAGCTCAGTTGGTAGAGCAGAGGACTGTAGGCAGTTCCTCCTATGAAGTGCTGTGGTTCCAAGGTCGCTGGTTCAACTCCCGCTCAAAGCAAGCCTTGTGTTCATCTGTCAGCTCCTCCTAAATTTAAAAACACAAACAAGATAACTCCTACTTTATTTTCCAACCATCAATTTTTTATTCACCCAGCCTAAAAGTCCTGATTATCAGTTCTGGGTCCCTGGCAATGACTGTTGGGTACAAACTGAGAAGCTGCGCTCTGAAGGTAGGGCTGGGCTTTTCACTGACCATGTAGGTGGATTAGTTGTGTGGGCAAAGTGTGTCATCATAGCCACTATGTTTTCTGCACTTGGAGTAGACAGCACCTTGATAGCTCAGTTGGTAGAGCAGAGGACTGTAGGCAGTTCCTCCTATGAAGTGCTGTCGTTCCAAGGTCGCTGGTTCAACTCCCGCTCAAAGCAAGCCTTGACTTCATCTGTCAGCTCCTCCAAAATTTAAAAACACAAACAAGATAACTCCTACTTTATTTTCCAACCATCAATTTTTTATTCACCCAGCCTAAAAGTCCTGATTATCAGTTCTGGGTCCCTGGCAATGACTGTTGGGTACAAACTGAGAAGCTGTGCTCTGAAGGTAGGGCTGGGCTTTTCACTGACCATGTAGGTGGATTAGTTGTGTGGGCAAAGTGTGTCATCATAGCCACTATGTTTTCTGCACTTGGAGTAGACAGCACCTTGATAGCTCAGTTGGTAGAGCAGAGGACTGTAGGCAGTTCCTCCTATGAAGTGCTGTCGTTCCAAGGTCGCTGGTTCAACTCCTGCTCAAAGCAAGCCTTGTCTTCATCTTTCAGCTCCTCCAAAATTTAAAAACACAAACAAGATAACTCCTACTTTATTTTCCAACCATCAATTTTTTATTCACCCAGCCTAAAAGTCCTGATTATCAGTTCTGGGTCCCTGGCAATGACTGTTGGGTACAAACTGAGAAGCTGCGCTCTGAAGGTAGGGCTGGGCTTTTCACTGACCATGTAGGTGGATTAGTTGTGTGGGCAAAGTGTGTCATCATAGCCACTATGTTTTCTGCACTTGGAGTAGACAGCACCTTGATAGCTCAGTTGGTAGAGCAGAGGACTGTAGGCAGTTCCTCCTATGAAGTGCTGTGGTTCCAGGGTCGCTGGTTCAACTCCCGCTCAAAGCAAGCCTTGTGTTCATCTGTCAGCTCCTCCAAAATTTAAAAACACAAACAAGATAACTCCTACTTTATTTTCCAACCATCAATTTTTTATTCACCCAGCCTAAAAGTCCTGATTATCAGTTCTGGGTCCCTGGCAATGACTGTTGGGTACAAACTGAGAAGCTGTGCTCTGAAGGTAGGGCTGGGCTTTTCACTGACCATGTAGGTGGATTAGTTGTGTGGGCAAAGTGTGTCATCATAGCCACTATGTTTTCTGCACTTGGAGTAGACAGCACCTTGATAGCTCAGTTGGTAGAGCAGAGGACTGTAGGCAGTTCCTCCTATTAAGTGCTGTGGTTCCAAGGTCGCTGGTTCAACTCCCGCTCAAAGCAAGCCTTGTGTTCATCTGTCAGCTCCTCCAAAATTTAAAAACACAAACAAGATAACTCCTACTTTATTTTCCAACCATCAATTTTTTATTCACCCAGCCTAAAAGTCCTGATTATCAGTTCTGGGTCCCTGGCAATGACTGTTGGGTACAAACTGAGAAGCTGCGCTCTGAAGGTAGGGCTGGGCTTTTCACTGACTAAGTTGGTAGAGCAGAGGACTGTAGGCAGTTCCTCCTATGAAGTGCTGTCGTTCCAGGGTTGCTTGTTCAACTCCCGCTCAAAGCAAGCCTTGTGTTCATCTGTCAGCTCCTCCAAAATTTAAAAACACAAACAAGATAACTCCTACTTTATTTTCCAACCATCAATTTTTTATTCACCCAGCCTAAAAGTCCTGATTATCAGTTCTGGGTCCCTGGCAATGACTGTTGGGTACAAACTGAGAAGCTGTGCTCTGAAGGTAGGGCTGGGCTTTTCACTGACCATGTAGGTGGATTAGTTGTGTGGGCAAAGTGTGTCATCATAGCCACTATGTTTTCTGCACTTGCAGTAGACAGCATCGTGATAGCTCAGTTGGTACAGCAGAGGACTGTAGGCACTTCCTCCTATGAAGTGCTGTGGTTCCAAGGTCCCTGGTTCAACTCCCACTCAAAGCAAGCCTTGTCTTCATCTGTCAGCTCCTCCAAAATTTAAAAACACAAACAAGATAACTCCTACTTTATTTTCCAACCGTCAATTTTTTATTCACCCAGCCTAAAAGTCCTGATTATCAGTTCTGGGTCCCTGGCAATGACTGTTGGGTACAAACTGAGAAGCTGTGCTCTGAAGGTAGGGCTGGGCTTTTCACTGACCATGTAGGTGGATTAGTTGTGTGGGCAAAGTGTGTCATCATAGCCACTATGTTTTCTGCACTTGGAGTAGACAGCACCTTGATAGCTCAGTTGGTAGAGCAGAGGACTGTAGGCAGTTCCTCCTATGAAGTGCTGTGGTTTCAAGGTCGCTGGTTCAACTCCCGCTCAAAGCAAGCCTTGTGTTCATCTGTCAGCTCCTCCAAAATTTAAAAACACAAACAAGATAACTCCTACTTTATTTTCCAACCATCAATTTTTTATTCACCCAGCCTAAAAGTCCTGATTATCAGTTCTGGGTCCCTGGCAATGACTGTTGGGTACAAACTGAGAAGCTGCGCTCTGAAGGTAGGGCTGGGCTTTTCACTGACCATGTAGGTGGATTAGTTGTGTGGGCAAAGTGTGTCATCATAGCCACTATGTTTTCTGCACTTGGAGTAGACAGCACCTTGATAGCTCAGTTGGTAGAGCAGAGGACTGTAGGCAGTTCCTCCTATGAAGTGCTGTGGTTCCAGGGTCGCTGGTTCAACTCCCGCTCAAAGCAAGCCTTGTGTTCATCTGTCAGCTCCTCCAAAATTTAAAAACACAAACAAGATAACTCCTACTTTATTTTCCAACCATCAATTTTTTATTCACCCAGCCTAAAAGTCCTGATTATCAGTTCTGGGTCCCTGGCAATGACTGTTGGGTACAAACTGAGAAGCTGCGCTCTGAAGGTAGGGCTGGGCTTTTCACTGACCATGTAGGTGGATTAGTTGTGTGGGCAAAGTGTGTCATCATAGCCACTATGTTTTCTGCACTTGGAGTAGACAGCATCTTGATAGCTCAGTTGGTAGAGCAGAGCACTGTAGGCAGTTCCTCCTATGAAGTGCTGTGGTTCCAAGGTCGCTGGTTCAACTCCCGCTCAAAGCAAGCCTTGTCTTCATCTGTCAGCTCCTCCAAAATTTAAAAACACAAACAAGATAACTCCTACTTTATTTTCCAACCATCAATTTTTTATTCACCCAGCCTAAAAGTCCTGATTATCAGTTCTGGGTCCCTGGCAATGACTGTTGGGTACAAACTGAGAAGCTGTGCTCTGAAGGTAGGGCTGGGCTTTTCACTGACCATGTAGGTGGATTAGTTGTGTGGGCAAAGTGTGTCATCATAGCCACTATGTTTTCTGCACTTGGAGTAGACAGCACCTTGATAGCTCAGTTGGTAGAGCAGAGGACTGTAGCCAGTTCCTCCTATGAAGTGCTGTGGTTCCAAGGTCGCTAGTTCAACTCCCGCTCAAAGCAAGCCTTGTGTTCATCTGTCAGCTCCTCCAAAATTTAAAAACACAAACAAGATAACTCCTACTTTATTTTCCAACCATCAATTTTTTATTCACCCAGCCTAAAAGTCCTGATTATCAGTTCTGGGTCCCTGGCAATGACTGTTGGGTACAAACTGAGAAGCTGTGCTCTGAAGGTAGGGCTGGGCTTTTCACTGACTATGTAGGTGGATTAGTTGTGTGGGCAAAGTGTGTCATCATAGCCACTATGTTTTCTGCACTTGGAGTAGACAGCACCTTGATAGCTCAGTTGGTAGAGCAGAGGACTGTAGGCAGTTCCTCCTATGAAGTGCTGTCGTTCCAAGGTCGCTGGTTCAACTCCCGCTCAAAGCAAGCCTTGACTTCATCTGTCAGCTCCTCCAAAATTTAAAAACACAAACAAGATAACTCCTACTTTATTTTCCAACCATCAATTTTTTATTCACCCAGCCTAAAAGTCCTGATTATCAGTTCTGGGTCCCTGGCAATGACTGTTGGGTACAAACTGAGAAGCTGTGCTCTGAAGGTAGGGCTGGGCTTTTCACTGACCATGTAGGTGGGTTAGTTGTGTGGGCAAAGTGTGTCATCATAGCCACTATGTTTTCTGCACTTGGAGTAGACAGCACCTTGATAGCTCAGTTGGTAGAGCAGAGGACTGTAGGCAGTTCCTCCTATGAAGTGCTGTGGTTCCAGGGTCGCTGGTTCAACTCCCGCTCAAAGCAAGCCTTGTGTTCATCTGTCATCTCCTCCAAAATTTAAAAACACAAACAAGATAACTCCTACTTTATTTTCCAACCATCAATTTTTTATTCACCCAGCCTAAAAGTCCTGATTATCAGTTCTGGGTCCCTGGCAATGACTGTTGGGTACAAACTGAGAAGCTGTGCTCTGAAGGTAGGGCTGGGCTTTTCACTGACCATGTAGGTGGATTAGTTGTGTGGGCAAAGTGTGTCATCATAGCCACTATGTTTTCTGCACTTGGAGTAGACAGCACCTTGATAGCTCAGTTGGTAGAGCAGAGGACTGTAGGCAGTTCCTCCTATGAAGTGCTGTGGTTCCAAGGTCGCTGGTTCAACTCCCGCTCAAAGCAAGCCTTGTGTTCATCTGTCAGCTCCTCCAAAATTTAAAAACACAAACAAGATAACTCCTACTTTATTTTCCAACCATCAATTTTTTATTCACCCAGCCTAAAAGTCCTGATTATCAGTTCTGGGTCCCTGGCAATGACTGTTGGGTACAAACTGAGAAGCTGCGCTCTGAAGGTAGGGCTGGGCTTTTCACTGACTCAGTTGGTAGAGCAGAGGACTGTAGGCAGTTCCTCCTATGAAGTGCTGTCGTTCCAGGGTCGCTTGTTCAACTCCCGCTCAAAGCAAGCCTTGTTTTCATCTGTCAGCTCCTCCAAAATTTAAAAACACAAACAAGATAACTCCTACTTTATTTTCCAACCATCAATTTTTTATTCACCCAGCCTAAAAGTCCTGATTATCAGTTCTGGGTCCCTGGCAATGACTGTTGGGTACAAACTGAGAAGCTGCGCTCTGAAGGTAGGGCTGGGCTTTTCACTGACCATGTAGGTGGATTAGTTGTGTGGGCAAAGTGTGTCATCATAGCCACTATGTTTTCTGCACTTGCAGTAGACAGCATCGTGATAGCTCAGTTGGTACAGCAGAGGACTGTAGGCAGTTCCTCCTATGAAGTGCTGTGATTCCAAGGTCCCTGGTTCAACTCCCACTCAAAGCAAGCCTTGTCTTCATCTGTCAGCTCCTCCAAAATTTAAAAACACAAACAAGATAACTCCTACTTTATTTTCCAACCATCAATTTTTTATTCACCCAGCCTAAAAGTCCTGATTATCAGTTCTGGGTCCCTGGCAATGACTGTTGGGTACAAACTGAGAAGCTGTGCTCTGAAGGTAGGGCTGGGCTTTTCACTGACCATGTAGGTGGATTAGTTGTGTGGGCAAAGTGTGTCATCATAGCCACTATGTTTTCTGCACTTGGAGTAGACAGCACCTTGATAGCTCAGTTGGTAGAGCAGAGGACTGTAGGCAGTTCCTCCTATGAAGTGCTGTGGTTCCAAGGTCGCTGGTTCAACTCCCGCTCAAAGCAAGCCTTGACTTCATCTGTCAGCTCCTCAAAAATTTAAATACACAAACAAGATAACTCCTACTTTATTTTCCAACCATCAATTTTTTATTCACCCAGCCTAAAAGTCCTGATTATCAGTTCTGGGTCCCTGGCAATGACTGTTGGGTACAAACTGAGAAGCTGTGCTCTGAAGGTAGGGCTGGGCTTTTCACTGACCATGTAGGTGGATTAGTTGTGTGGGCAAAGTGTGTCATCATAGCCACTATGTTTTCTGCACTTGGAGTAGACAGCACCTTGATAGCTCAGTTGGTATAGCAGAAGACTGTAGGCAGTTCCTCCAATGAAGTGCTGTCGTTCCAGGGTCGCTGGTTCAACTCCCGCTCAAAGCAAGCCTTGTGTTCATCTGTCAGCTCCTCCAAAATTTAAAAACACAAACAAGATAACTCCTACTTTATTTTCCAACCATCAATTTTTTATTCACCCAGCCTAAAAGTCCTGATTATCAGTTCTGGGTCCCTGGCAATGACTGTTGGGTACAAACTGAGAAGCTGTGCTCTGAAGGTAGGGCTGGGCTTTTCACTGACCATGTAGGTGGATTAGTTGTGTGGGCAAAGTGTGTCATCATAGCCACTATGTTTTCTGCACTTGGAGTAGACAGCACCTTGATAGCTCAGTTGGTAGAGCAGAGGACTGTAGGCAGTTCCTCCTATGAAGTGCTCTCGTTCCAACGTCGCTGGTTCAACTCCCGCTCAAAGCAAGCCTTGTCTTCATCTGTCAGCTCCTCCAAAATTTAAAAACACAAACAAGATAACTCCTACTTTATTTTCCAACCGTCAATTTTTTGTTCACCCAGCCTAAAAGTCCTGATTATCAGTTCTGGGTCCCTGGCAATGACTGTTGGGTACAAACTGAGAAGCTGTGCTCTGAAGGTAGGGCTGGGCTTTTCACTGACCATGTAGGTGGATTAGTTGTGTGGGCAAAGTGTGTCATCATAGCCACTATGTTTTCTGCACTTGGAGTAGACAGCACCTTGATAGCTCAGTTGGTAGAGCAGAGGACTGTAGGCAGTTCCTCCTATGAAGTGCTCTCGTTCCAGGGTCGCTGGTTCAACTCCCGCTCAAAGCAAGCCTTGTGTTCATCTGTCAGCTCCTCCAAAATTTAAAAACACAAACAAGATAACTCCTACTTTATTTTCCAACCATCAATTTTTTATTCACCCAGCCTAAAAGTCCTGATTATCAGTTCTGGGTCCCTGGCAATGACTGTTGGGTACAAACTGAGAAGCTGCGCTCTGAAGGTAGGGCTGGGCTTTTCACTGACCATGTAGGTGGATTAGTTGTGTGGGCAAAGTGTGTCATCATAGCCACTATGTTTTCTGCACTTGGAGTAGACAGCACCTTGATAGCTCAGTTGGTAGAGCAGAGGACTGTAGGCAGTTCCTCCTATGAAGTGCTGTGGTTCCAAGGTCGCTGGTTCAACTCCCACTCAAAGCAAGCCTTGTCTTCATCTGTCAGCTCCTCCAAAATTTAAAAACACAAACAAGATAACTCCTACTTTATTTTCCAACCGTCAATTTTTTATTCACCCAGCCTAAAAGTCCTGATTATCAGTTCTGGGTCCCTGGCAATGACTGTTGGGTACAAACTGAGAAGCTGTGCTCTGAAGGTAGGGCTGGGCTTTTCACTGACCATGTAGGTGGATTAGTTGTGTGGGCAAAGTGTGTCATCATAGCCACTATGTTTTCTGCACTTGGAGTAGACAGCACCTTGATAGCTCAGTTGGTAGAGCAGAGGACTGTAGGCAGTTCCTCCTATGAAGTGCTGTCGTTCCAAGGTCGCTGGTTCAACTCCCGCTCAAAGCAAGCCTTGACTTCATCTGTCAGCTCCTCCAAAATTTAAAAACACAAACAAGATAACTCCTACTTTATTTTCCAACCATCAATTTTTTATTCACCCAGCCTAAAAGTCCTGATTATCAGTTCTGGGTCCCTGGCAATGACTGTTGGGTACAAACTGAGAAGCTGCGCTCTGAAGGTAGGGCTGGGCTTTTCACTGACCATGTAGGTGGATTAGTTGTGTGGGCAAAGTGTGTCATCATAGCCACTATGTTTTCTGCACTTGGAGTAGACAGCATCTTGATAGCTCAGTTGGTAGAGCAGAGGACTGTAGGCAGTTCCTCCTATGAAGTGCTGACGTTCCAGGGTCGCTGGTTCAACTCCCACTCAAAGCAAGCCTTGTCTTCATCTGTCAGCTCCTCCAAAATTTAAAAACACAAACAAGATAACTCCTACTTTATTTTCCAACCGTCAATTTTTTATTCACCCAGCCTAAAAGTCCTGATTATCAGTTCTGGGTCCCTGGCAATGACTGTTGGGTACAAACTGAGAAGCTGTGCTCTGAAGGTAGGGCTGGGCTTTTCACTGACCATGTAGGTGGATTAGTTGTGTGGGCAAAGTGTGTCATCATAGCCACTATGTTTTCTGCACTTGGAGTAGACAGCACCTTGATAGCTCAGTTGGTAGAGTAGAGGACTGTAGGCAGTTCCTCCTATGAAGTGCTGTCGTTCCAAGGTCGCTGGTTCAACTCCCGCTCAAAGCAAGCCTTGACTTCATCTGTCAGCTCCTCCAAAATTTAAAAACACAAACAAGATAACTCCTACTTTATTTTCCAACCATCAATTTTTTATTCACCCAGCCTAAAAGTCCTTATTATCAGTTCTGGGTCCCTGGCAATGACTGTTGGGTACAAACTGAGAAGCTGCGCTCTGAAGGTAGGGCTGGGCTTTTCACTGACCATGTAGGTGGATTAGTTGTGTGGGCAAAGTGTGTCATCATAGCCACTATGTTTTCTGCACTTGGAGTAGACAGCACCTTGATAGCTCAGTTGGTACAGCAGAGGACTGTAGGCAGTTCCTCCAATGAAGTGCTGACGTTCCAGGGTCGCTGGTTCAACTCCCGCTCAAAGCAAGCCTTGTCTTCATCTGTCAGCTCCTCCAAAATTTAAAAACACAAACAAGATAACTCCTACTTTATTTTCCAACCATCAATTTTTTATTCACCCAGCCTAAAAGTCCTGATTATCAGTTCTGGGTCCCTGGCAATGACTGTTGGGTACAAACTGAGAAGCTGTGCTCTGAAGGTAGGGCTGGGCTTTTCACTGACCATGTTGGTGGATTAGTTGTGTGGGCAAAGTGTGTCATCATAGCCACTATGTTTTCTGCACTTGGAGTAGACAGCACCTTGATAGCTCAGTTGGTAGAGCAGAGGACTGTAGGCAGTTCCTCCTATGAAGTGCTGTGGTTCCAAGGTCGCTGGTTCAACTCCCGCTCAAAGCAAGCCTTGTCTTCATCTGTCAGCTCCTCCAAAATTTAAAAACACAAACAAGATAACTCCTACTTTATTTTCCAACCGTCAATTTTTTATTCACCCAGCCTAAAAGTCCTGATTATCAGTTCTGGGTCCCTGGCAATGACTGTTGGGTACAAACTGAGAAGCTGTGCTCTGAAGGTAGGGCTGGGCTTTTCACTGACCATGTAGGTGGATTAGTTGTGTGGGCAAAGTGTGTCATCATAGCCACTATGTTTTCTGCACTTGGAGTAGACAGCACCTTGATAGCTCAGTTGGTAGAGCAGAGGACTGTAGGCAGTTCCTCCTATGAAGTGCTGTCGTTCCAAGGTCGCTGGTTCAACTCCCGCTCAAAGCAAGCCTTGTCTTCATCTGTCAGCTCCTCCAAAATTTAAAAACACAAACAAGATAACTCCTACTTTATTTTCCAACCGTCAATTTTTTATTCACCCAGCCTAAAAGTCCTGATTATCAGTTCTGGGTCCCTGGCAATGACTGTTGGGTACAAACTGAGAAGCTGTGCTCTGAAGGTAGGGCTGGGCTTTTCACTGACCATGTAGGTGGATTAGTTGTGTGGGCAAAGTGTGTCATCATAGCCACTATGTTTTCTGCACTTGGAGTAGACAGCACCTTGATAGCTCAGTTGGTAGAGCAGAGGACTGTAGGCAGTTCCTCCTATGAAGTGCTGTCGTTCCAGGGTCGCTGGTTCAACTCCCGCTCAAAGCAAGCCTTGTGTTCATCTGTCAGCTCCTCCAAAATTTAAAAACACAAACAAGATAACTCCTACTTTATTTTCCAACCATCAATTTTTTATTCACCCAGCCTAAAAGTCCTGATTATCAGTTCTGGGTCCCTGGCAATGACTGTTGGGTACAAACTGAGAAGCTGCGCTCTGAAGGTAGGGCTGGGCTTTTCACTGACCATGTAGGTGGATTAGTTGTGTGGGCAAAGTGTGTCATCATAGCCACTATGTTTTCTGCACGTGGAGTAGACAGCATCTTGATAGCTCAGTTGGTAGAGCAGAGGACTGTAGGCAGTTCCTCCTATGAAGTGCTTGGTTCCAAGGTCGCTGGTTCAACTCCCACTCAAAGCAAGCCTTGTCTTCATCTGTCAGCTCCTCCAAAATTTAAAAACACAAACAAGATAACTCCTACTTTATTTTCCAACCGTCAATTTTTTATTCACCCAGCCTAAAAGTCCTGATTATCAGTTCTGGGTCCCTGGCAATGACTGTTGGGTACAAACTGAGAAGCTGCGCTCTGAAGGTAGGGCTGGGCTTTTCACTGACCATGTAGGTGGATTAGTTGTGTGGGCAAAGTGTGTCATCATAGCCACTATGTTTTCTGCACTTGGAGTAGACAGCACCTTGATAGCTCAGTTGGTAGAGCAGAGGACTGTAGGCAGTTCCTCCAATGAAGTGCTGTCGTTCCAGGGTCGCTGGTTCAACTCCCGCTCAAAGCAAGCCTTGTCTTCATCTGTCAGCTCCTCCAAAATTTAAAAACACAAACAAGATAACTCCTACTTTATTTTCCAACCATCAATTTTTTATTCACCCAGCCTAAAAGTCCTGATTATCAGTTCTGGGTCCCTGGCAATGACTGTTAGGTACAAACTGAGAAGCTGTGCTCTGAAGGTAGGGCTGGGCTTTTCACTGACCATGTTGGTGGATTAGTTGTGTGGGCAAAGTGTGTCATCATAGCCACTATGTTTTCTGCACTTGGAGTAGACAGCACCTTGATAGCTCAGTTGTTAGAGCAGAGGACTGTAGGCAGTTCCTCCTATGAAGTGCTGTGGTTCCAAGGTCGCTGGTTCAACTCCCGCTCAAAGCAAGCCTTGTCTTCATCTGTCAGCTCCTCCAAAATTTAAAAACACAAACAAGATAACTCCTACTTTATTTTCCAACCGTCAATTTTTTGTTCACCCAGCCTAAAAGTCCTGATTATCAGTTCTGGGTCCCTGGCAATGACTGTTGGGTACAAACTGAGAAGCTGTGCTCTGAAGGTAGGGCTGGGCTTTTCACTGACCATGTAGGTGGATTAGTTGTGTGGGCAAAGTGTGTCATCATAGCCACTATGTTTTCTGCACTTGGAGTAGACAGCACCTTTATAGCTCAGTTGGTAGAGCAGAGGACTGTAGGCAGTTCCTCCTATGAAGTGCTGTCGTTCCAAGGTTGCTGGTTCAACTCCCGCTCAAAGCAAGCCTTGTCTTCATCTGTCAGCTCCTCAAAAATTTAAAAACACAAACAAGATAACTCCTACTTTATTTTCCAACCGTCAATTTTTTATTCACCCAGCCTAAAAGTCCTGATTATCAGTTCTGGGTCCCTGGCAATGACTGTTGGGTACAAACTGAGAAGCTGTGCTCTGAAGGTAGGGCTGGGCTTTTCACTGACCATGTAGGTGGATTAGTTGTGTGGGCAAAGTGTGTCATCATAGCCACTATGTTTTCTGCACTTGGAGTAGACAGCACCTTGATAGCTCAGTTGGTAGAGCAGAGGACTGTAGGCAGTTCCTCCTATGAAGTGCTGTGGTTCCAGGGTCGCTGGTTCAACTCCCGCTCAAAGCAAGCCTTGTGTTCATCTGTCAGCTCCTCCAAAATTTAAAAACACAAACAAGATAACTCCTACTTTATTTTCCAACCATCAATTTTTTATTCACCCAGCCTAAAAGTCCTGATTATCAGTTCTGGGTCCCTGGCAATGACTGTTGGGTACAAACTGAGAAGCTGCGCTCTGAAGGTAGGGCTGGGCTTTTCACTGACCATGTAGGTGGATTAGTTGTGTGGGCAAAGTGTGTCATCATAGCCACTATGTTTTCTGCACTTGGAGTAGACAGCACCTTGATAGCTCAGTTGGTAGAGCAGAGGACTGTAGGCAGTTCCTCCTATGAAGTGCTGTGGTTCCAAGGTCGCTGGTTCAACTCCCGCTCAAAGCAAGCCTTGTCTTCATCTGTCAGCTCCTCCAAAATTTAAAAACACAAACAAGATAACTCCTACTTTATTTTCCAACCATCAATTTTTTATTCACCCAGCCTAAAAGTCCTGATTATCAGTTCTGGGTCCCTGGCAATGACTGTTGGGTACAAACTGAGAAGCTGTGCTCTGAAGGTAGGGCTGGGCTTTTCACTGACCATGTAGGTGGATTAGTTGTGTGGGCAAAGTGTGTCATCATAGCCACTATGTTTTCTGCACTTGGAGTAGACAGCACCTTGATAGCTCAGTTGGTAGAACAGAGGACTGTAGGCAGTTCCTCCTATGAAGTGCTGTGGTTCCAAGGTTGCTGGTTCAACTCCCGCTCAAAGCAAGCCTTGTCTTCATCTGTCAGCTCCTCCAAAATTTGAAAACACAAACAAGATAACTCCTACTTTATTTTCCAACCGTCAATTTTTTATTCACCCAGCCTAAAAGTCCTGATTATCAGTTCTGGGTCCCTGGCAATGACTGTTGGGTACAAACTGAGAAGCTGTGCTCTGAAGGTAGGGCTGGGCTTTTCACTGACCATGTAGGTGGATTAGTTGTGTGGGCAAAGTGTGTCATCATAGCCACTATGTTTTCTGCACTTGGAGTAGACAGCACCTTGATAGCTCAGTTGGTAGAGCAGAGGACTGTAGGCAGTTCCTCCTATGAAGTGCTGTGGTTCCAAGGTCGCTGGTTCAACTCCCGCTCAAAGCAAGCCTTGTCTTCATCTGTCAGCTCCTCCAAAATTTAAAAACACAAACAAGATAACTCCTACTTTATTTTCCAACCATCAATTTTTTATTCACCCAGCCTAAAAGTCCTGATTATCAGTTCTGGGTCCCTGGCAATGACTGTTGGGTACAAACTGAGAAGCTGCGCTCTGAAGGTAGGGCTGGGCTTTTCACTGACCATGTAGGTGGATTAGTTGTGTGGGCAAAGTGTGTCATCATAGCCACTATGTTTTCTGCACTTGGAGTAGACAGCACCTTGATAGCTCAGTTGGTAGAGCAGAGGACTGTAGGCAGTTCCTCCTATGAAGTGCTGTCGTTCCAGGGTCGCTGGTTCAACTCCCGCTCAAAGCAAGCCTTGTGTTCATCTGTCAGCTCCTCCAAAATTTAAAAACACAAACAAGATAACTCCTACTTTATTTTCCAACCATCAATTTTTTATTCACCCAGCCTAAAAGTCCTGATTATCAGTTCTGGGTCCCTGGCAATGACTGTTGGGTACAAACTGAGAAGCTGCGCTCTGAAGGTAGGGCTGGGCTTTTCACTGACCATGTAGGTGGATTAGTTGTGTGGGCAAAGTGTGTCATCATAGCCACTATGTTTTCTGCACTTGGAGTAGACAGCACCTTGATAGCTCAGTTGGTAGAGCAGAGGACTGTAGGCAGTTCCTCCTATGAAGTGCTGTGGTTCCAGGGTTGCTGGTTCAACTCCCGCTCAAAGCAAGCCTTGTGTTCATCTGTCAGCTCCTCCAAAATTTAAAAACACAAACAAGATAACTCCTACTTTATTTTCCAACCATCAATTTTTTATTCACCCAGCCTAAAAGTCCTGATTATCAGTTCTGGGTCCCTGGCAATGACTGTTGGGTACAAACTGAGAAGCTGTGCTCTGAAGGTAGGGCTGGGCTTTTCACTGACCATGTAGGTGGATTAGTTGTGTGGGCAAAGTGTGTCATCATAGCCACTATGTTTTCTGCACTTGGAGTAGACAGCACCTTGATAGCTCAGTTGGTAGAGCAGAGGACTGTAGGCAGTTCCTCCTATGAAGTGCTGTGGTTCCAAGGTCGTTGGTTCAACTCCCGCTCAAAACAAGCCTTGTCTTCATCTGTCAGCTCCTCCAAAATTTAAAAACACAAACAAGATAACTCCTACTTTATTTTCCAACCGTCAATTTTTTATTCACCCAGTCTAAAAGTCCTGATTATCAGTTCTGGGTCCCTGGCAATGACTGTTGGGTACAAACTGAGAAGCTGCGCTCTGAAGGTAGGGCTGGGCTTTTCACTGACCATGTAGGTGGATTAGTTGTGTGGGCAAAGTGTGTCATCATAGCCACTATGTTTTCTGCACTTGGAGTAGACAGCACCTTGATAGCTCAGTTGGTAGAGCAGAGGACTGTAGGCAGTTCTTCCTATGAAGTGCTGTCGTTCCAGGGTCGCTGGTTCAACTCCCGCTCAAAGCAAGCCTTGTGTTCATCTGTCAGCTCCTCCAAAATTTAAAAACACAAACAAGATAACTCCTACTTTATTTTCCAACCATCAATTTTTTATTCACCCAGCCTAAAAGTCCTGATTATCAGTTCTGGGTCCCTGGCAATGACTGTTGGGTACAAACTGAGAAGCTGTGCTCTGAAGGTAGGGCTGGGCTTTTCACTGACCATGTAGGTGGATTAGTTGTGTGGGCAAAGTGTGTCATCATAGCCACTATGTTTTCTGCACTTGGAGTAGACAGCACCTTGATAGCTCAGTTGGTAGAGCAGAGGACTGTAGGCAGTTCCTCCTATGAAGTGCTGTGGTTCCAAGGTCGCTGGTTCAACTCCCGCTCAAAGCAAGCCTTCTGTTCATCTGTCAGCTCCTCCAAAATTTAAAAACACAAACAAGATAACTCCTACTTTATTTTCCAACCATCAATTTTTTATTCACCCAGCCTAAAAGTCCTGATTATCAGTTCTGGGTCCCTGGCAATGACTGTTGGGTACAAACTGAGAAGCTGCGCTCTGAAGGTAGGGCTGGGCTTTTCACTGACCATGTAGGTGGATTAGTTGTGTGGGCAAAGTGTGTCATCATAGCCACTATGTTTTCTGCACTTGGAGTAGACAGCACCTTGATAGCTCAGTTGGTAGAGCAGAGGACTGTAGGCAGTTCTTCCTATGAAGTGCTGTCGTTCCAGGGTCGCTGGTTCAACTCCCGCTCAAAGCAAGCCTTGTGTTCATCTGTCAGCTCCTCCAAAATTTAAAAACACAAACAAGATAACTCCTACTTTATTTTCCATACATCAATTTTTTATTCACCCAGCCTAAAAGTCCTGATTATCAGTTCTGGGTCCCTGGCAATGACTGTTGGGTACAAACTGAGAAGCTGTGCTCTGAAGGTAGGGCTGGGCTTTTCACTGACCATGTAGGTGGATTAGTTGTGTGGGCAAAGTGTGTCATCATAGCCACTATGTTTTCTGCACTTGGAGTAGACAGCACCTTGATAGCTCAGTTGGTAGAGCAGAGGACTGTAGGCAGTTCCTCCTATGAAGTAATGTGGTTCCAAGGTCGCTGGTTCAACTCCCGCTCAAAGCAAGCCTTGTGTTCATCTGTCAGCTCCTCCAAAATTTAAAAACACAAACAAGATAACTCCTACTTTATTTTCAAACCGTCAATTTTTAATTCACCCAGCCTAAAAGTCCTGATTATCAGTTCTGGGTCCCTGGCAATGACTGTTGGGTACAAACTGAGAAGCTGTGCTCTGAAGGTAGGGCTGGGCTTTTCACTGACCATGTAGGTGGATTAGTTGTGTGGGCAAAGTGTGTCATCATAGCCACTATGTTTTCTGCACTTGGAGTAGACAGCACCTTGATAGCTCAGTTGGTAGAGCAGAGGACTGTAGGCAGTTCTTCCTATGAAGTGCTGTCGTTCCAGGGTCGCTGGTTCAACTCCCGCTCAAAGCAAGCCTTGTGTTCATCTGTCAGCTCCTCCAAAATTTAAAAACACAAACAAGATAACTCCTACTTTATTTTCCAACCATCAATTTTTTATTCACCCAGCCTAAAAGTCCTGATTATCAGTTCTGGGTCCCTGGCAATGACTGTTGGGTACAAACTGAGAAGCTGCGCTCTGAAGGTAGGGCTGGGCTTTTCACTGACCATGTAGGTGGATTAGTTGTGTGGGCAAAGTGTGTCATCATAGCCACTATGTTTTCTGCACTTGGAGTAGACAGCACCTTGATAGCTCAGTTGGTAGAGCAGAGGACTGTAGGCAGTTCTTCCTATGAAGTGCTGTCGTTCCAGGGTCGCTGGTTCAACTCCCGCTCAAAGCAAGCCTTGTGTTCATCTGTCAGCTCCTCCAAAATTTAAAAACACAAACAAGATAACTCCTACTTTATTTTCCAACCATCAATTTTTTATTCACCCAGCCTAAAAGTCCTGATTATCAGTTCTGGGTCCCTGGCAATGACTGTTGGGTACAAACTGAGAAGCTGTGCTCTGAAGGTAGGGCTGGGCTTTTCACTGACCATGTAGGTGGATTAGTTGTGTGGGCAAAGTGTGTCATCATAGCCACTATGTTTTCTGCACTTGGAGTAGACAGCACCTTGATAGCTCAGTTGGTAGAGCAGAGGACTGTAGGCAGTTCCTCCTATGAAGTGCTGTGGTTCCAAGGTCGCTGGTTCAACTCCCGCTCAAAGCAAGCCTTGCGTTCATCTGTCAGCTCCTCCAAAATTTAAAAACACAAACAAGATAACTCCTACTTTATTTTCCAACCATCAATTTTTTATTCACCCAGCCTAAAAGTCCTGATTATCAGTTCTGGGTCCCTGGCAATGACTGTTGGGTACAAACTGAGAAGCTGTGCTCTGAAGGTAGGGCTGGGCTTTTCACTGACCATGTAGGTGGATTAGTTGTGTGGGCAAAGTGTGTCATCATAGCCACTATGTTTTCTGCACTTGGAGTAGACAGCACCTTGATAGCTCATTTGGTAGAGCAGAGGACTGTAGGCAGTTCCTCCTATGAAGTGCTATCGTTCCAGCATCGCTTGTTCAACTCCCGCTCAAAGCAAGCCTTGTCTTCATCTGTCAGCTCCTCCAAAATTTAAAAACACAAACAAGATAACTGCTACTTTATTTTCCAACCATCAATTTTTTATTCACCCAGCCTAAAAGTCCTGATTATCAGTTCTGGGTCCCTGGCAATGACTGTTGGGTACAAACTGAGAAGCTGCGCTCTGAAGGTAGGGCTGGGCTTTTCACTGACCATGTAGGTGGATTAGTTGTGTGGGCAAAGTGTGTCATCATAGCCACTATGTTTTCTGCACTTGGAGTAGACAGCACCTTGATAGCTCAGTTGGTAGAGCAGAGGACTGTAGGCAGTTCCTCCTATGAAGTGCTGTCGTTCCAGGGTCGCTGGTTCAACTCCCGCTCAAAGCAAGCCTTGTGTTCATCTGTCAGCTCCTCCAAAATTTAAAAACACAAACAAGATAACTCCTACTTTATTTTCCAACCATCAATTTTTTATTCACCCAGCCTAAAAGTCCTGATTATCAGTTCTGGGTCCCTGGCAATGACTGTTGGGTACAAACTGAGAAGCTGCGCTCTGAAGGTAGGGCTGGGCTTTTCACTGACCATGTAGGTGGATTAGTTGTGTGGGCAAAGTGTGTCATCATAGCCACTATGTTTTCTGCACTTGGACTAGACAGCACCTTGATAGCTCAGTTGGTAGAGCAGAGGACTGTAGGCAGTTCCTCCTATGAAGTGCTGTGGTTCCAAGGTCGCTGGTTCAACTCCCGCTCAAAGCAAGCCTTGTGTTCATCTGTCAGCTCCTCCAAAATTTAAAAACACAAACAAGATAACTCCTACTTTATTTTCCAACCATCAATTTTTTATTCACCCAGCCTAAAAGTCCTGATTATCAGTTCTGGGTCCCTGGCAATGACTGTTGGGTACAAACTGAGAAGCTGTGCTCTGAAGGTAGGGCGGGACTTTTCACTGACCATGTTGGTGGATTAGTTGTGTGGGCAAAGTGTGTCATCATAGCCACTATGTTTTCTGCACTTGGAGTAGACAGCACCTTGATAGCTCAGTTGGTAGAGCAGAGGACTGTAGGCAGTTCCTCCTATGAAGTGCTGTGGTTCCAACGTCGCTGGTTCAACTCCCGCTCAAAGCAAGCCTTGTGTTCATCTGTCAGCTCCTCCAAAATTTAAAAACACAAACAAGATAACTCCTACTTTATTTTCCAACCATCAATTTTTTATTCACCCAGCCTAAAAGTCCTGATTATCAGTTCTGGGTCCCTGGCAATGACTGTTGGGTACAAACTGAGAAGCTGTGCTCTGAAGGTAGGGCTGGGCTTTTCACTGACCATGTAGGTGGATTAGTTGTGTGGGCAAAGTGTGTCATCATAGCCACTATGTTTTCTGCACTTGGAGTAGACAGCACCTTGATAGCTCAGTTGGTAGAGCAGAGGACTGTAGGCAGTTCCTCCTATGAAGTGCTATCGTTCCAGCATCGCTTGTTCAACTCCCGCTCAAAGCAAGCCTTGTCTTCATCTGTCAGCTCCTCCAAAATTTAAAAACACAAACAAGATAACTGCTACTTTATTTTCCAACCATCAATTTTTTATTCACCCAGCCTAAAAGTCCTGATTATCAGTTCTGGGTCCCTGGCAATGACTGTTGGGTACAAACTGAGAAGCTGTGCTCTGAAGGTAGGGCTGGGCTTTTCACTGACCATGTAGGTGGATTAGTTGTGTGGGCAAAGTGTGTCATCATAGCCACTATGTTTTCTGCACTTGGAGTAGACAGCACCTTGATAGCTCAGTTGGTAGAGCAGAGGACTGTAGGCAGTTCCTCCTATGAAGTGCTGTGGTTCCAAGGTCGCTGGTTCAACTCCCGCTCAAAGCAAGCCTTGCGTTCATCTGTCAGCTCCTCCAAAATTTAAAAACACAAACAAGATAACTCCTACTTTATTTTCCAACCATCAATTTTTTATTCACCCAGCCTAAAAGTCCTGATTATCAGTTCTGGGTCCCTGGCAATGACTGTTGGGTACAAACTGAGAAGCTGCGCTCTGAAGGTAGGGCTGGGCTTTTCACTGACCATGTAGGTGGATTAGTTGTGTGGGCAAAGTGTGTCATCATAGCCACTATGTTTTCTGCACTTGGAGTAGACAGCACCTTGATAGCTCAGTTGGTAGAGCAGAGGACTGTAGGCAGTTCCTCCTATGAAGTGCTATCGTTCCAGCATCGCTTGTTCAACTCCCGCTCAAAGCAAGCCTTGTCTTCATCTGTCAGCTCCTCCAAAATTTAAAAACACAAACAAGATAACTGCTACTTTATTTTCCAACCATCAATTTTTTATTCACCCAGCCTAAAAGTCCTGATTATCAGTTCTGGGTCCCTGGCAATGACTGTTGGGTACAAACTGAGAAGCTGCGCTCTGAAGGTAGGGCTGGGCTTTTCACTGACCATGTAGGTGGATTAGTTGTGTGGGCAAAGTGTGTCATCATAGCCACTATGTTTTCTGCACTTGGACTAGACAGCACCTTGATAGCTCAGTTGGTAGAGCAGAGGACTGTAGGCAGTTCCTCCTATGAAGTGCTGTCGTTCCAGGGTCGCTGGTTCAACTCCCGCTCAAAGCAAGCCTTGTGTTCATCTGTCAGCTCCTCCAAAATTTAAAAACACAAACAAGATAACTCCTACTTTATTTTCCAACCATCAATTTTTTATTCACCCAGCCTAAAAGTCCTGATTATCAGTTCTGGGTCCCTGGCAATGACTGTTGGGTACAAACTGAGAAGCTGCGCTCTGAAGGTAGGGCTGGGCTTTTCACTGACCATGTAGGTGGATTAGTTGTGTGGGCAAAGTGTGTCATTATAGCCACTATGTTTTCTGCACTTGGACTAGACAGCAGCTTGATAGCTCAGTTGGTAGAGCAGAGGACTGTAGGCAGTTCCTCCTATGAAGTGCTGTGGTTCCAAGGTCGCTGGTTCAACTCCCGCTCAAAGCAAGCCTTGTGTTCATCTGTCAGCTCCTCCAAAATTTAAAAACACAAACAAGATAACTCCTACTTTATTTTCCAACCATCAATTTTTTATTCACCCAGCCTAAAAGTCCTGATTATCAGTTCTGGGTCCCTGGCAATGACTGTTGGGTACAAACTGAGAAGCTGTGCTCTGAAGGTAGGGCTGGGCTTTTCACTGACCATGTTGGTGGATTAGTTGTGTGGGCAAAGTGTGTCATCATAGCCACTATGTTTTCTGCACTTGGAGTAGACAGCACCTTGATAGCTCAGTTGGTAGAGCAGAGGACTGTAGGCAGTTCCTCCTATGAAGTGCTGTGGTTCCAACGTCGCTGGTTCAACTCCCGCTCAAAGCAAGCCTTGTCTTCATCTGTCAGCTCCTCCAAAATTTAAAAACACAAACAAGATAACTCCTACTTTATTTTCCAACCATCAATTTTTTATTCACCCAGCCTAAAAGTCCTGATTATCAGTTCTGGGTCCCTGGCAATGACTGTTGGGTACAAACTGAGAAGCTGTGCTCTGAAGGTAGGGCTGGGCTTTTCACTGACCATGTAGGTGGATTAGTTGTGTGGGCAAAGTGTGTCATCATAGCCACTATGTTTTCTGCACTTGGAGTAGACAGCACCTTGATAGCTCAGTTGGTAGAGCAGAGTAATGTAGGCAGTTCCTCCTATGAAGTGCTGTGGTTCCAAGGTCGCTGGTTCAACTCCCGCTCAAAGCAAGCCTTGTGTTCATCTGTCAGCTCCTCCAAAATTTAAAAACACAAACAAGATAACTCCTACTTTATTTTCCAACCATCAATTTTTTATTCACCCAGCCTAAAAGTCCTGATTATCAGTTCTGGGTCTGGCAATGACTGTTGGGTACAAACTGAGAAGCTGTGCTCTGAAGGTAGGGCTGGGCTTTTCACTGACCATGTAGGTGGATTAGTTGTGTGGGCAAAGTGTGTCATCATAGCCACTATGTTTTCTGCACTTGGAGTAGACAGCACCTTGATAGCTCAGTTGGTAGAGCAGAGGACTGTAGGCAGTTCCTCCTATGAAGTGCTGTGGTTCCAAGGTCGCTGGTTCAACTCCCGCTCAAAGCAAGCCTTGTGTTCATCTGTCAGCTCCTCCAAAATTTAAAAACACAAACAAGATAACTCCTACTTTATTTTCCAACCATCAATTTTTTATTCACCCAGCCTAAAAGTCCTGATTATCAGTTCTGGGTCCCTGGCAATGACTGTTGGGTACAAACTGAGAAGCTGTGCTCTGAAGGTAGGGCTGGGCTTTTCACTGACCATGTAGGTGGATTAGCTGTGTGGGCAAAGTGTGTCATCATAGCCACTATGTTTTCTGCACTTGGAGTAGACAGCACCCTGATAGCTCAGTTGGTAGAACAGAGGACTGTAGGCAGTTCCTCCTATGAAGTGCTGTGGTTCCAAGGTCGCTGGTTCAACTCCCGCTCAAAGTAAGCCTTGTGTTCATCTGTCAGCTCCTCCAAAATTTAAAAACACAAACAAGATAACTCCTACTTTATTTTCCAACCATCAATTTTTTATTCACCCAGCCTAAAAGTCCTGATTATCAGTTCTGGGTCCCTGGCAATGACTGTTGGGTACAAACTGAGAAGCTGTGCTCTGAAGGTAGGGCTGGGCTTTTCACTGACCATGTAGGTGGATTAGTTGTGTGGGCAAAGTGTGTCATCATAGCCACTATGTTTTCTGCACTTGGAGTAGACAGCACCTTGATAGCTCAGTTGGTAGAGCAGAGGACTGTAGGCAGTTCCTCCTATGAAGTGCTGTGGTTCCAAGGTCGCTGGTTCAACTCCCGCTCAAAGCAAGCCTTGTGTTCATCTGTCAGCTCCTCCAAAATTTAAAAACACAAACAAGATAACTCCTACTTTATTTTCCAACCATCAATTTTTTATTCACCCAGCCTAAAAGTCCTGATTATCAGTTCTGGGTCCCTGGCAATGACTGTTGGGTACAAACTGAGAAGCTGTGCTCTGAAGGTAGGGCTGGGCTTTTCACTGACCATGTAGGTGGATTAGTTGTGTGGGCAAAGTGTGTCATCATAGCCACTATGTTTTCTGCACTTGGAGTAGACAGCACCTTGATAGCTCAGTTGGTAGAGCAGAGGACTGTAGGCAGTTCCTCCTATGAAGTGCTGTGGTTCCAACGTCGCTGGTTCAACTCCCGCTCAAAGCAAGCCTTGTGTTCATCTGTCAGCTCCTCCAAAATTTAAAAACACAAACAAGATAACTCCTACTTTATTTTCCAACCATCAATTTTTTATTCACCCAGCCTAAAAGTCCTGATTATCAGTTCTGGGTCCCTGGCAATGACTGTTGGGTACAAACTGAGAAGCTGTGCTCTGAAGGTAGGGCTGGGCTTTTCACTGACCATGTAGGTGGATTAGTTGTGTGGGCAAAGTGTGTCATCATAGCCACTATGTTTTCTGCACTTGGAGTAGACAGCACCCTGATAGCTCAGTTGGTAGAACAGAGGACTCTAGGCAGTTCCTCCTATGAAGTGCTGTGGTTCCAAGGTCGCTGGTTCAACTCCCGCTCAAAGCAAGCCTTGTCTTCATCTGTCAGCTCCTCCAAAATTTAAAAACACAAACAAGATAACTCCTACTTTATTTTCCAACCGTCAATTTTTTATTCACCCAGCCTAAAAGTCCTGATTATCAGTTCTGGGTCCCTGGCAATGACTGTTGGGTACAAACTGAGAAGCTGTGCTCTGAAGGTAGGGCTGGGCTTTTCACTGACCATGTAGGTGGATTAGTTGTGTGGGCAAAGTGTGTCATCATAGCCACTATGTTTTCTGCACTTGGAGTAGACAGCACCTTGATAGCTCAGTTGGTAGAGCAGAGGACTGTAGGCAGTTCCTCCTATGAAGTGCTGTGGTTCCAACGTCGCTGGTTCAACTCCCGCTCAAAGCAAGCCTTGTCTTCATCTGTCAGCTCCTCCAAAATTTAAAAACACAAACAAGATAACTCCTACTTTATTTTCCAACCATCAATTTTTTATTCACCCAGCCTAAAAGTCCTGATTATCAGTTCTGGGTCCCTGGCAATGACTGTTGGGTACAAACTGAGAAGCTGTGCTCTGAAGGTAGGGCTGGGCTTTTCACTGACCATGTAGGTGGATTAGTTGTGTGGGCAAAGTGTGTCATCATAGCCACTATGTTTTCTGCACTTGGAGTAGACAGCACCTTGATAGCTCAGTTGGTAGAGCAGAGGACTGTAGGCAGTTCCTCCTATGAAGTGCTGTGGTTCCAAGGTTGCTGGTTCAACTCCCGCTCAAAGCAAGCCTTGTGTTCATCTGTCAGCTCCTCCAAAATTTAAAAACGCAAACAAGATAACTCCTACTTTATTTTCCAACCATCAATTTTTTATTCACCCAGCCTAAAAGTCCTGATTATCAGTTCTGGGTCCCTGGCAATGACTGTTGGGTACAAACTGAGAAGCTGTGCTCTGAAGGTAGGGCTGGGCTTTTCACTGACCATGTTGGTGGATTAGTTGTGTGGGCAAAGTGTGTCATCATAGCCACTATGTTTTCTGCACTTGGAGTAGACAGCACCTTGATAGCTCAGTTGGTAGAGCAGAGGACTGTAGGCAGTTCCTCCTATGAAGTGCTGTGGTTCCAAGGTCGCTGGTTCAACTCCCGCTCAAAGCAAGCCTTGTCTTCATCTGTCAGCTCCTCCAAAATTTAAAAACACAAACAAGATAACTCCTACTTTATTTTCCAACCATCAATTTTTTATTCACCCAGCCTAAAAGTCCTGATTATCAGTTCTGGGTCCCTGGCAATGACTGTTGGGTACAAACTGAGAAGCTGTGCTCTGAAGGTAGGGCTGGGCTTTTCACTGACCATGTAGGTGGATTAGTTGTGTGGGCAAAGTGTGTCATCATAGCCACTATGTTTTCTGCACTTGGAGTAGACAGCACCTTGATAGCTCAGTTGGTAGAGCAGAGGACTGTAGGCAGTTCCTCCTATGAAGTGCTGTGGTTCCAAGGTCGCTGGTTCAACTCCCGCTCAAAGCAAGCCTTGTGTTCATCTGTCAGCTCCTCCAAAATTTAAAAACACAAACAAGATAACTCCTACTTTATTTTCCAACCATCAATTTTTTATTCACCCAGCCTAAAAGTCCTGATTATCAGTTCTGGGTCCCTGGCAATGACTGTTGGGTACAAACTGAGAAGCTGTGCTCTGAAGGTAGGGCTGGGCTTTTCACTGACCATGTAGGTGGATTAGTTGTGTGGGCAAAGTGTGTCATCATAGCCACTATGTTTTCTGCACTTGGAGTAGACAGCACCTTGATAGCTCAGTTGGTAGAGCAGAGGACTGTAGGCAGTTCCTCCTATGAAGTGCTGTGGTTCCAAGGTCGCTGGTTCAACTCCCGCTCAAAGCAAGCCTTGTCTTCATCTGTCAGCTCCTCCAAAATTTAAAAACACAAACAAGATAACTCCTACTTTATTTTCCAACCGTCAATTTTTTATTCACCCAGCCTAAAAGTCCTGATTATCAGTTCTGGGTCCCTGGCAATGACTGTTGGGTACAAACTGAGAAGCTGTGCTCTGAAGGTAGGGCTGGGCTTTTCACTGACCATGTAGGTGGATTAGTTGTGTGGGCAAAGTGTGTCATCATAGCCACTATGTTTTCTGCACTTGGAGTAGACAGCACCCTGATAGCTCAGTTGGTAGAACAGAGGACTCTAGGCAGTTCTTCCTATGAAGTGCTGTGGTTCCAAGGTCGCTGGTTCAACTCCCGCTCAAAGCAAGCCTTGTCTTCATCTGTCAGCTCCTCCAAAATTTAAAAACACAAACAAGATAACTCCTACTTTATTTTCCAACCGTCAATTTTTTATTCACCCAGCCTAAAAGTCCTGATTATCAGTTCTGGGTCCCTGGCAATGACTGTTGGGTACAAACTGAGAAGCTGTGCTCTGAAGGTAGGGCTGGGCTTTTCACTGACCATGTAGGTGGATTAGTTGTGTGGGCAAAGTGTGTCATCATAGCCACTATGTTTTCTGCACTTGGAGTAGACAGCACCTTGATAGCTCAGTTGGTAGAGCAGAGGACTGTAGGCAGTTCCTCCTATGAAGTGCTGTGGTTCCAAGGTCGCTGGTTCAACTCCCGCTCAAAGCAAGCCTTGTGTTCATCTGTCAGCTCCTCCAAAATTTAAAAACACAAACAAGATAACTCCTACTTTATTTTCCAACCGTCAATTTTTTATTCACCCAGCCTAAAAGTCCTGATTATCAGTTCTGGGTCCCTGGCAATGACTGTTGGGTACAAACTGAGAAGCTGTGCTCTGAAGGTAGGGCTGGGCTTTTCACTGACCATGTAGGTGGATTAGTTGTGTGGGCAAAGTGTGTCATCATAGCCACTATGTTTTCTGCACTTGGAGTAGACAGCACCTTGATAGCTCAGTTGGTAGAGCAGAGGACTGTAGGCAGTTCCTCCTATGAAGTGCTGTGGTTCCAAGGTCGCTGGTTCAACTCCCGCTCAAAGCAAGCCTTGTGTTCATCTGTCAGCTCCTCCAAAATTTAAAAACACAAACAAGATAACTCCTACTTTATTTTCCAACCATCAATTTTTTATTCACCCAGCCTAAAAGTCCTGATTATCAGTTCTGGGTCCCTGGCAATGACTGTTGGGTACAAACTGAGAAGCTGCGCTCTGAAGGTAGGGCTGGGCTTTTCACTGACCATGTAGGTGGATTAGTTGTGTGGGCAAAGTGTGTCATCATAGCCACTATGTTTTCTGCACTTGGAGTAGACAGCACCTTGATAGCTCAGTTGGTAGAGCAGAGGACTGTAGGCAGTTCTTCCTATGAAGTGCTGTCGTTCCAGGGTCGCTGGTTCAACTCCCGCTCAATGCAAGCCTTGTGTTCATCTGTCAGCTCCTCCAAAATTTAAAAACACAAACAAGATAACTCCTACTTTATTTTCCAACCATCAATTTTTTATTCACCCAGCCTAAAAGTCCTGATTATCAGTTCTGGGTCCCTGGCAATGACTGTTGGGTACAAACTGAGAAGCTGCGCTCTGAAGGTAGGGCTGGGCTTTTCACTGACCATGTAGGTGGATTAGTTGTGTGGGCAAAGTGTGTCATCATAGCCACTATGTTTTCTGCACTTGGAGTAGACAGCACCTTGATAGCTCAGTTGGTAGAGCAGAGGACTGTAGGCAGTTCCTCCTATGAAGTGCTGTGGTTCCAAGGTCGCTGGTTCAACTCCCGCTCAAAGCAAGCCTTGTGTTCATCTGTCAGCTCCTCCAAAATTTAAAAACACAAACAAGATAACTCCTACTTTATTTTCCAACCATCAATTTTTTATTCACCCAGCCTAAAAGTCCTGATTATCAGTTCTGGGTCCCTGGCAATGACTGTTGGGTACAAACTGAGAAGCTGTGCTCTGAAGGTAGGGCTGGGCTTTTCACTGACCATGTAGGTGGATTAGTTGTGTGGGCAAAGTGTGTCATCATAGCCACTATGTTTTCTGCACTTGGAGTAGACAGCACCTTCATAGCTCAGTTGGTAGAGCAGAGGACTGTAGGCAGTTCCTCCTATGAAGTGCTGTGGTTCCAAGGTCGCTGGTTCAACTGCCGCTCAAAGTAAGCCTTGTCTTCATCTGTCAGCTCCTCCAAAATTTAAAAACACAAACAAGATAACTCCTACTTTATTTTCCAACCATCAATTTTTTATTCACCCAGCCTAAAAGTCCTGATTATCAGTTCTGGGTCCCTGGCAATGACTGTTGGGTACAAACTGAGAAGCTGTGCTCTGAAGGTAGGGCTGGGCTTTTCACTGACCATGTAGGTGGATTAGTTGTGTGGGCAAAGTGTGTCATCATAGCCACTATGTTTTCTGCACTTGGAGTAGACAGCACCCTGATAGCTCAGTTGGTAGAACAGAGGACTCTAGGCAGTTCCTCCTATGAAGTGCTGTGGTTCCAAGGTCGCTGGTTCAACTCCCGCTCAAAGCAAGCCTTGTCTTCATCTGTCAGCTCCTCCAAAATTTAAAAACACAAACAAGATAACTCCTACTTTATTTTCCAACCGTCAATTTTTTATTCACCCAGCCTAAAAGTCCTGATTATCAGTTCTGGGTCCCTGGCAATGACTGTTGGGTACAAACTGAGAAGCTGTGCTCTGAAGGTAGGGCTGGGCTTTTCACTGACCATGTAGGTGGATTAGTTGTGTGGGCAAAGTGTGTCATCATAGCCACTATGTTTTCTGCACTTGGAGTAGACAGCACCTTGATAGCTCAGTTGGTAGAGCAGAGGACTGTAGGCAGTTCCTCCTATGAAGTGCTGTGGTTCCAAGGTCGCTGGTTCAACTCCCGCTCAAAGCAAGCCTTGTGTTCATCTGTCAGCTCCTCCAAAATTTAAAAACACAAACAAGATAACTCCTACTTTATTTTCCAACCATCAATTTTTTATTCACCCAGCCTAAAAGTCCTGATTATCAGTTCTGGGTCCCTGGCAATGACTGTTGGGTACAAACTGAGAAGCTGTGCTCTGAAGGTAGGGCTGGGCTTTTCACTGACCATGTAGGTGGATTAGTTGTGTGGGCAAAGTGTGTCATCATAGCCACTATGTTTTCTGCACTTGGAGTAGACAGCACCTTGATAGCTCAGTTGGTAGAGCAGAGGACTGTAGGCAGTTCCTCCTATGAAGTGCTGTGGTTCCAAGGTCGCTGGTTCAACTCCCGCTCAAAGCAAGCCTTGTGTTCATCTGTCAGCTCCTCCAAAATTTAAAAACACAAACAAGATAACTCCTACTTTATTTTCCAACCATCAATTTTTTATTCACCCAGCCTAAAAGTCCTGATTATCAGTTCTGGGTCCCTGGCAATGACTGTTGGGTACAAACTGAGAAGCTGTGCTCTGAAGGTAGGGCTGGGCTTTTCACTGACCATGTAGGTGGATTAGTTGTGTGGGCAAAGTGTGTCATCATAGCCACTATGTTTTCTGCACTTGGAGTAGACAGCACCTTGATAGCTCAGTTGGTAGAGCAGAGGACTGTAGGCAGTTCCTCCTATGAAGTGCTGTGGTTCCAAGGTCGCTGGTTCAACTCCCGCTCAAAGCAAGCCTTGTCTTCATCTGTCAGCTCCTCCAAAATTTAAAAACACAAACAAGATAACTCCTACTTTATTTTCCAACCGTCAATTTTTTATTCACCCAGCCTAAAAGTCCTGATTATCAGTTCTGGGTCCCTGGCAATGACTGTTGGGTACAAACTGAGAAGCTGCGCTCTGAAGGTAGGGCTGGGCTTTTCACTGACCATGTAGGTGGATTAGTTGTGTGGGCAAAGTGTGTCATCATAGCCACTATGTTTTCTGCACTTGGAGCAGACAGCACCTTGATAGCTCAGTTGGTAGAGCAGAGGACTGTAGGCAGTTCCTCCTATGAAGTGCTGTGGTTCCAGGGTCGCTCGTTCAACTCCCGCTCAAAGCAAGCCTTGTGTTCATCTGTCAGCTCCTCCAAAATTTAAAAACACAAACAAGATAACTCCTACTTTATTTTCCAACCATCAATTTTTTATTCACCCAGCCTAAAAGTCCTGATTATCAGTTCTGGGTCCCTGGCAATGACTGTTGGGTACAAACTGAGAAGCTGTGCTCTGAAGGTAGGGCTGGGCTTTTCACTGACCATGTAGATGGATTAGTTGTGTGGGCAAAGTGTGTCATCATAGCCACTATGTTTTCTGCACTTGGAGTACACAGCACCTTGATAGCTCACTTGGTAGAGCAGAGGACTGTAGGCAGTTCCTCCTATGCAGTGCTGTGGTTCCAAGGTCGCTGGTTCAACTCCCGCTCAAAGCAAGCCTTGTGTTCATCTGTCAGCTCCTCCAAAATTTAAAAACACAAACAAGATAACTCCTACTTTATTTTCCAACCATCAATTTTTTATTCACCCAGCCTAAAAGTCCTGATTATCAGTTCTGGGTCCCTGGCAATGACTGTTGGGTACAAACTGAGAAGCTGCGCTCTGAAGGTAGGGCTGGGCTTTTCACTGACCATGTAGGTGGATTAGTTGTGTGGGCAAAGTGTGTCATCATAGCCACTATGTTTTCTGCACTTGGAGTAGACAGCACCTTGATAGCTCAGTTGGTAGAGCAGAGGACTGTAGGCAGTTCTTCCTATGAAGTGCTGTCGTTCCAGGGTCGCTGGTTCAACTCCCGCTCAAAGCAAGCCTTGTGTTCATCTGTCAGCTCCTCCAAAATTTAAAAACACAAACAAGATAACTCCTACTTTATTTTCCAACCATCAATTTTTTATTCACCCAGCCTAAAAGTCCTGATTATCAGTTCTGGGTCCCTGGCAATGACTGTTGGGTACAAACTGAGAAGCTGCGCTCTGAAGGTAGGGCTGGGCTTTTCACTGACCATGTAGGTGGATTAGTTGTGTGGGCAAAGTGTGTCATCATAGCCACTATGTTTTCTGCACTTGGAGTAGACAGCACCTTGATAGCTCAGTTGGTAGAGCAGAGGACTGTAGGCAGTTCTTCCTATGAAGTGCTGTCGTTCCAGGGTCGCTGGTTCAACTCCCGCTCAAAGCAAGCCTTGTGTTCATCTGTCAGCTCCTCCAAAATTTAAAAACACAAACAAGATAACTCCTACTTTATTTTCCAACCATCAATTTTTTATTCACCCAGCCTAAAAGTCCTGATTATCAGTTCTGGGTCCCTGGCAATGACTGTTGGGTACAAACTGAGAAGCTGTGCTCTGAAGGTAGGGCTGGGCTTTTCACTGACCATGTAGGTGGATTAGTTGTGTGGGCAAAGTGTGTCATCATAGCCACTATGTTTTCTGCACTTGGAGTAGACAGCACCTTGATAGCTCAGTTGGTAGAGCAGAGGACTGTAGGCAGTTCCTCCTATGAAGTGCTGTGGTTCCAAGGTTGCTGGTTCAACTCCCGCTCAAAGCAAGCCTTGTGTTCATCTGTCAGCTCCTCCAAAATTTAAAAACACAAACAAGATAACTCCTACTTTATTTTCCAACCATCAATTTTTTATTCACCCAGCCTAAAAGTCCTGATTATCAGTTCTGGGTCCCTGGCAATGACTGTTGGGTACAAACTGAGAAGCTGTGCTCTGAAGGTAGGGCTGGGCTTTTCACTGACCATGTAGGTGGATTAGTTGTGTGGGCAAAGTGTGTCATCATAGCCACTATGTTTTCTGCACTTGGAGTAGACAGCACCTTGATAGCTCAGTTGGTAGAGCAGAGGACTGTAGGCAGTTCCTCCTATGAAGTGCTGTCGTTCCAGGGTCGCTTGTTCAACTCCCGCTCAAAGCAAGCCTTGTCTTCATCTGTCAGCTCCTCCAAAATTTAAAAACACAAACAAGATAACTGCTACTTTATTTTCCAACCATCAATTTTTTATTCACCCAGCCTAAAAGTCCTGATTATCAGTTCTGGGTCCCTGGCAATGACTGTTGGGTACAAACTGAGAAGCTGTGCTCTGAAGGTAGGGCTGGGCTTTTCACTGACCATGTAGGTGGATTAGTTGTGTGGGCAAAGTGTGTCATCATAGCCACTATGTTTTCTGCACTTGGAGTAGACAGCACCTTGATAGCTCAGTTGGTAGAGCAGAGGACTGTAGGCAGTTCCTCCTATGAAGTGCTGTCGTTCCAAGGTCGCTGGTTCAACTCCCGCTCAAAGCAAGCCTTGTGTTCATCTGTCAGCTCCTCCAAAATTTAAAAACACAAACAAGATAACTCCTACTTTATTTTCCAACCGTCAATTTTTTATTCACCCAGCCTAAAAGTCCTGATTATCAGTTCTGGGTCCCTGGCAATGACTGTTGGGTACAAACTGAGAAGCTGTGCTCTGAAGGTAGGGCTGGGCTTTTCACTGACCATGTTGGTGGATTAGTTGTGTGGGCAAAGTGTGTCATCATAGCCACTATGTTTTCTGCACTTGGAGTAGACAGCTCCTTGATAGCTCAGTTGGTAGAGCACAGGACTGTAGGCAGTTCCTCCTATGAAGTGCTGTGGTTCCAAGGTCGCTGGTTCAACTCCCGCTCAAAGCAAGCCTTGTCTTCATCTGTCAGCTCCTCCAAAATTTAAAAACACAAACAAGATAACTCCTACTTTATTTTCCAACCATCAATTTTTTATTCACCCAGCCTAAAAGTCCTGATTATCAGTTCTGGGTCCCTGGCAATGACTGTTGGGTACAAACTGAGAAGCTGTGCTCTGAAGGTAGGGCTGGGCTTTTCACTGACCATGTAGGTGGATTAGTTGTGTGGGCAAAGTGTGTCATCATAGCCACTATGTTTTCTGCACTTGGAGTAGACAGCACCTTGATAGCTCAGTTGGTAGAGCAGAGTAATGTAGGCAGTTCCTCCTATGAAGTGCTGTGGTTCCAAGGTCGCTGGTTCAACTCCCGCTCAAAGCAAGCCTTGTGTTCATCTGTCAGCTCCTCCAAAATTTAAAAACACAAACAAGATAACTCCTACTTTATTTTCCAACCATCAATTTTTTATTCACCCAGCCTAAAAGTCCTGATTATCAGTTCTGGGTCTGGCAATGACTGTTGGGTACAAACTGAGAAGCTGTGCTCTGAAGGTAGGGCTGGGCTTTTCACTGACCATGTAGGTGGATTAGTTGTGTGGGCAAAGTGTGTCATCATAGCCACTATGTTTTCTGCACTTGGAGTAGACTGCACCTTGATAGCTCAGTTGGTAGAGCAGAGGACTGTAGGCAGTTCCTCCTATGAAGTGCTGTGGTTCCAAGGTCGCTGGTTCAACTCCCGCTCAAAGCAAGCCTTGTCTTCATCTGTCAGCTCCTCCAAAATTTAAAAACACAAACAAGATAACTCCTACTTTATTTTCCAACCATCAATTTTTTATTCACCCAGCCTAAAAGTCCTGATTATCAGTTCTGGGTCCCTGGCAATGACTGTTGGGTACAAACTGAGAAGCTGTGCTCTGAAGGTAGGGCTGGGCTTTTCACTGACCATGTAGGTGGATTAGTTGTGTGGGCAAAGTGTGTCATCATAGCCACTATGTTTTCTGCACTTGGAGTAGACAGCACCCTGATAGCTCAGTTGGTAGAACAGAGGACTCTAGACAGTTCCTCCTATGAAGTGCTGTGGTTCCAAGGTCGCTGGTTCAACTCCCGCTCAAAGCAAGCCTTGTGTTCATCTGTCAGCTCCTCCAAAATTTAAAAACACAAACAAGATAACTCCTACTTTATTTTCCAACCATCAATTTTTTATTCACCCAGCCTAAAAGTCCTGATTATCAGTTCTGGGTCCCTGGCAATGACTGTTGGGTACAAACTGAGAAGCTGTGCTCTGAAGGTAGGGCTGGGCTTTTCACTGACCATGTAGGTGGATTAGTTGTGTGGGCAAAGTGTGTCATCATAGCCACTATGTTTTCTGCACTTGGAGTAGACAGCACCTTGATAGCTCAGTTGGTAGAGCAGAGGACTGTAGGCAGTTCCTCCTATGAAGTGCTGTGGTTCCAAGGTCGCTGGTTCAACTCCCGCTCAAAGCAAGCCTTGTCTTCATCTGTCAGCTCCTCCAAAATTTAAAAACACAAACAAGATAACTCCTACTTTATTTTCCAACCATCAATTTTTTATTCACCCAGCCTAAAAGTCCTGATTATCAGTTCTGGGTCCCTGGCAATGACTGTTGGGTACAAACTGAGAAGCTGTGCTCTGAAGGTAGGGCTGGGCTTTTCACTGACCATGTAGGTGGATTAGTTGTGTGGGCAAAGTGTGTCATCATAGCCACTATGTTTTCTGCACTTGGAGTAGACAGCACCCTGATAGCTCAGTTGGTAGAACAGAGGACTCTAGGCAGTTCCTCCTATGAAGTGCTGTGGTTCCAAGGTCGCTGGTTCAACTCCCGCTCAAAGCAAGCCTTGTCTTCATCTGTCAGCTCCTCCAAAATTTAAAAACACAAACAAGATAACTCCTACTTTATTTTCCAACCGTCAATTTTTTATTCACCCAGCCTAAAAGTCCTGATTATCAGTTCTGGGTCCCTGGCAATGACTGTTGGGTACAAACTGAGAAGCTGTGCTCTGAAGGTAGGGCTGGGCTTTTCACTGACCATGTAGGTGGATTAGTTGTGTGGGCAAAGTGTGTCATCATAGCCACTATGTTTTCTGCACTTGGAGTAGACAGCACCTTGATAGCTCAGTTGGTAGAGCAGAGGACTGTAGGCAGTTCCTCCTATGAAGTGCTGTGGTTCCAACGTCGCTGGTTCAACTCCCGCTCAAAGCAAGCCTTGTCTTCATCTGTCAGCTCCTCCAAAATTTAAAAACACAAACAAGATAACTCCTACTTTATTTTCCAACCGTCAATTTTTTGTTCACCCAGCCTAAAAGTCCTGATTATCAGTTCTGGGTCCCTGGCAATGACTGTTGGGTACAAACTGAGAAGCTGTGCTCTGAAGGTAGGGCTGGGCTTTTCACTGACCATGTAGGTGGATTAGTTGTGTGGGCAAAGTGTGTCATCATAGCCACTATGTTTTCTGCACTTGGAGTAGACAGCACCTTGATAGCTCAGTTGGTAGAGCAGAGGACTGTAGGCAGTTCCTCCTATGAAGTGCTGTCGTTCCAGGGTCGCTGGTTCAACTCCCGCTCAAAGCAAGCCTTGTGTTCATCTGTCAGCTCCTCCAAAATTTAAAAACACAAACAAGATAACTCCTACTTTATTTTCCAACCATCAATTTTTTATTCACCCAGCCTAAAAGTCCTGATTATCAGTTCTGGGTCCCTGGCAATGACTGTTGGGTACAAACTGAGAAGCTGCGCTCTGAAGGTAGGGCTGGGCTTTTCACTGACCATGTAGGTGGATTAGTTGTGTGGGCAAAGTGTGTCATCATAGCCACTATGTTTTCTGCACTTGGAGTAGACAGCACCTTGATAGCTCAGTTGGTAGAGCAGAGGACTGTAGGCAGTTCCTCCAATGAAGTGCTGTCGTTCCAGGGTCGCTGGTTCAACTCCCGCTCAAAGCAAGCCTTGTCTTCATCTGTCAGCTCCTCCAAAATTTAAAAACACAAACAAGATAACTCCTACTTTATTTTCCAACCATCAATTTTTTATTCACCCAGCCTAAAAGTCCTGATTATCAGTTCTGGGTCCCTGGCAATGACTGTTGGGTACAAACTGAGAAGCTGTGCTCTGAAGGTAGGGCTGGGCTTTTCACTGACCATGTTGGTGGATTAGTTGTGTGGGCAAAGTGTGTCATCATAGCCACTATGTTTTCTGCACTTGGAGTAGACAGCACCTTGATAGCTCAGTTGGTAGAGCAGAGGACTGTAGGCAGTTCCTTCTATCAAGTGCTCTCGTTCCAACGTCGCTGGTTCAACTCCTGCTCAAAGCAAGCCTTGTCTTCATCTGTCAGCTCCTCCAAAATTTAAAAACACAAACAAGATAACTCCTACTTTATTTTCCAACCATCAATTTTTTATTCACCCAGCCTTAAAGTCCTGATTATCAGTTCTGGGTCCCTGGCAATGACTGTTGGGTACAAACTGAGAAGCTGTGCTCTGAAGGTAGGGCTGGGCTTTTCACTGACCATGTAGGTGGATTAGTTGTGTGGGCAAAGTGTGTCATCATAGCCACTATGTTTTCTGCACTTGGAGTAGACAGCACCTTGATAGCTCAGTTGGTAGAGCAGAGGACTGTAGGCAGTTCCTCCTATGAAGTGCTGTCGTTCCAAGGTCGCTAGTTCAACTCCCGCTCAAAGCAAGCCTTGTGTTCATCTGTCAGCTCCTCCAAAATTTAAAAACACAAACAAGATAACTCCTACTTTATTTTCCAACCATCAATTTTTTATTCACCCAGCCTAAAAGTCCTGATTATCAGTTCTGGGTCCCTGGCAATGACTGTTGGGTACAAACTGAGAAGCTGTGCTCTGAAGGTAGGGCTGGGCTTTTCACTGACCATGTAGGTGGATTAGTTGTGTGGGCAAAGTGTGTCATCATAGCCACTATGTTTTCTGCACTTGGAGTAGACAGCACCTTGATAGCTCAGTTGGTAGAGCAGAGGACTGTAGGCAGTTCCTCCTATGAAGTGCTGTCGTTCCAGGGTCGCTTGTTCAACTCCCGCTCAAAGCAAGCCTTGTCTTAATCTGTCAGCTCCTCCAAAATTTAAAAACACAAACAAGATAACTGCTACTTTATTTTCCAACCATCAATTTTTTATTCACCCAGCCTAAAAGTCCTGATTATCAGTTCTGGGTCCCTGGCAATGACTGTTGGGTACAAACTGAGAAGCTGCGCTCTGAAGGTAGGGCTGGGCTTTTCACTGACCATGTAGGTGGATTAGTTGTGTGGGCAAAGTGTGTCATCATAGCCACTATGTTTTCTGCACTTGGAGTAGACAGCACCTTGATAGCTCAGTTGGTAGAGCAGAGGACTGTAGGCAGTTCCTCCTATGAAGTGCTGTGGTTCCAACGTCGCTGGTTCAACTCCCGCTCAAAGCAAGCCTTGTCTTCATCTGTCAGCTCCTCCAAAATTTAAAAACACAAACAAGATAACTCCTACTTTATTTTCCAACCGTCAATTTTTTGTTCACCCAGCCTAAAAGTCCTGATTATCAGTTCTGGGTCCCTGGCAATGACTGTTGGGTACAAACTGAGAAGCTGTGCTCTGAAGGTAGGGCTGGGCTTTTCACTGACCATGTAGGTGGATTAGTTGTGTGGGCAAAGTGTGTCATCATAGCCACTATGTTTTCTGCACTTGGAGTAGACAGCACCTTGATAGCTCAGTTGGTAGAGCAGAGGACTGTAGGCAGTTCCTCCTATGAAGTGCTGTCGTTCCAGGGTCGCTGGTTCAACTCCCGCTCAAAGCAAGCCTTGTGTTCATCTGTCAGCTCCTCCAAAATTTAAAAACACAAACAAGATAACTCCTACTTTATTTTCCAACCATCAATTTTTTATTCACCCAGCCTAAAAGTCCTGATTATCAGTTCTGGGTCCCTGGCAATGACTGTTGGGTACAAACTGAGAAGCTGCGCTCTGAAGGTAGGGCTGGGCTTTTCACTGACCATGTAGGTGGATTAGTTGTGTGGGCAAAGTGTGTCATCATAGCCACTATGTTTTCTGCACTTGGAGTAGACAGCACCTTGATAGCTCAGTTGGTAGAGCAGAGGACTCTAGACAGTTCCTCCTATGAAGTGCTGTGGTTCCAAGGTCGCTGGTTCAACTCCCGCTCAAAGCAAGCCTTGTGTTCATCTGTCAGCTCCTCCAAAATTTAAAAACACAAACAAGATAACTCCTACTTTATTTTCCAACCATCAATTTTTTATTCACCCAGCCTAAAAGTCCTGATTATCAGTTCTGGGTCCCTGGCAATGACTGTTGGGTACAAACTGAGAAGCTGTGCTCTGAAGGTAGGGCTGGGCTTTTCACTGACCATGTAGGTGGATTAGTTGTGTGGGCAAAGTGTGTCATCATAGCCACTATGTTTTCTGCACTTGGAGTAGACAGCACCTTGATAGCTCAGTTGGTAGAGCAGAGGACTGTAGGCAGTTCCTCCTATGAAGTGCTGTGGTTCCAAGGTCGCTGGTTCAACTCCCGCTCAAAGCAAGCCTTGTCTTCATCTGTCAGCTCCTCCAAAATTTAAAAACACAAACAAGATAACTCCTACTTTATTTTCCAACCATCAATTTTTTATTCACCCAGCCTAAAAGTCCTGATTATCAGTTCTGGGTCCCTGGCAATGACTGTTGGGTACAAACTGAGAAGCTGTGCTCTGAAGGTAGGGCTGGGCTTTTCACTGACCATGTAGGTGGATTAGTTGTGTGGGCAAAGTGTGTCATCATAGCCACTATGTTTTCTGCACTTGGAGTAGACAGCACCCTGATAGCTCAGTTGGTAGAACAGAGGACTCTAGGCAGTTCCTCCTATGAAGTGCTGTGGTTCCAAGGTCGCTGGTTCAACTCCCGCTCAAAGCAAGCCTTGTCTTCATCTGTCAGCTCCTCCAAAATTTAAAAACACAAACAAGATAACTCCTACTTTATTTTCCAACCGTCAATTTTTTATTCACCCAGCCTAAAAGTCCTGATTATCAGTTCTGGGTCCCTGGCAATGACTGTTGGGTACAAACTGAGAAGCTGTGCTCTGAAGGTAGGGCTGGGCTTTTCACTGACCATGTAGGTGGATTAGTTGTGTGGGCAAAGTGTGTCATCATAGCCACTATGTTTTCTGCACTTGGAGTAGACAGCACCTTGATAGCTCAGTTGGTAGAGCAGAGGACTGTAGGCAGTTCCTCCTATGAAGTGCTGTGGTTCCAACGTCGCTGGTTCAACTCCCGCTCAAAGCAAGCCTTGTCTTCATCTGTCAGCTCCTCCAAAATTTAAAAACACAAACAAGATAACTCCTACTTTATTTTCCAACCGTCAATTTTTTGTTCACCCAGCCTAAAAGTCCTGATTATCAGTTCTGGGTCCCTGGCAATGACTGTTGGGTACAAACTGAGAAGCTGTGCTCTGAAGGTAGGGCTGGGCTTTTCACTGACCATGTAGGTGGATTAGTTGTGTGGGCAAAGTGTGTCATCATAGCCACTATGTTTTCTGCACTTGGAGTAGACAGCACCTTGATAGCTCAGTTGGTAGAGCAGAGGACTGTAGGCAGTTCCTCCTATGAAGTGCTGTCGTTCCAGGGTCGCTGGTTCAACTCCCGCTCAAAGCAAGCCTTGTGTTCATCTGTCAGCTCCTCCAAAATTTAAAAACACAAACAAGATAACTCCTACTTTATTTTCCAACCATCAATTTTTTATTCACCCAGCCTAAAAGTCCTGATTATCAGTTCTGGGTCCCTGGCAATGACTGTTGGGTACAAACTGAGAAGCTGCGCTCTGAAGGTAGGGCTGGGCTTTTCACTGACCATGTAGGTGGATTAGTTGTGTGGGCAAAGTGTGTCATCATAGCCACTATGTTTTCTGCACTTGGAGTAGACAGCACCTTGATAGCTCAGTTGGTAGAGCAGAGGACTGTAGGCAGTTCCTCCAATGAAGTGCTGTCGTTCCAGGGTCGCTGGTTCAACTCCCGCTCAAAGCAAGCCTTGTCTTCATCTGTCAGCTCCTCCAAAATTTAAAAACACAAACAAGATAACTCCTACTTTATTTTCCAACCATCAATTTTTTATTCACCCAGCCTAAAAGTCCTGAATATCAGTTCTGGGTCCCTGGCAATGACTGTTGGGTACAAACTGAGAAGCTGTGCTCTGAAGGTAGGGCTGGGCTTTTCACTGACCATGTTGGTGGATTAGTTGTGTGGGCAAAGTGTGTCATCATAGCCACTATGTTTTCTGCACTTGGAGTAGACAGCACCTTGATAGCTCAGTTGGTAGAGCAGAGGACTGTAGGCAGTTCCTCCTATCAAGTGCTCTCGTTCCAACGTAGCTGGTTCAACTCCTGCTCAAAGCAAGCCTTGTCTTCATCTGTCAGCTCCTCCAAAATTTAAAAACACAAACAAGATAACTCCTACTTTATTTTCCAACCATCAATTTTTTATTCACCCAGCCTAAAAGTCCTGATTATCAGTTCTGGGTCCCTGGCAATGACTGTTGGGTACAAACTGAGAAGCTGTGCTCTGAAGGTAGGGCTGGGCTTTTCACTGACCATGTAGGTGGATTAGTTGTGTGGGCAAAGTGTGTCATCATAGCCACTATGTTTTCTGCACTTGGAGTAGACAGCACCTTGATAGCTCAGTTGGTAGAGCAGAGGACTGTAGGCAGTTCCTCCTATGAAGTGCTGTGGTTCCAAGGTCGCTGGTTCAACTCCCGCTCAAAGCAAGCCTTGTCTTCATCTGTCAGCTCCTCCAAAATTTAAAAACACAAACAAGATAACTCCTACTTTATTTTCCAACCATCAATTTTTTATTCACCCAGCCTAAAAGTCCTGATTATCAGTTCTGGGTCCCTGGCAATGACTGTTGGGTACAAACTGAGAAGCTGTGCTCTGAAGGTAGGGCTGGGCTTTTCACTGACCATGTAGGTGGATTAGTTGTGTGGGCAAAGTGTGTCATCATAGCCACTATGTTTTCTGCACTTGGAGTAGACAGCACCCTGATAGCTCAGTTGGTAGAACAGAGGACTCTAGGCAGTTCCTCCTATGAAGTGCTGTGGTTCCAAGGTCGCTGGTTCAACTCCCGCTCAAAGCAAGCCTTGTCTTCATCTGTCAGCTCCTCCAAAATTTAAAAACACAAACAAGATAACTCCTACTTTATTTTCCAACCGTCAATTTTTTATTCACCCAGCCTAAAAGTCCTGATTATCAGTTCTGGGTCCCTGGCAATGACTGTTGGGTACAAACTGAGAAGCTGTGCTCTGAAGGTAGGGCTGGGCTTTTCACTGACCATGTAGGTGGATTAGTTGTGTGGGCAAAGTGTGTCATCATAGCCACTATGTTTTCTGCACTTGGAGTAGACAGCACCTTGATAGCTCAGTTGGTAGAGCAGAGGACTGTAGGCAGTTCCTCCAATGAAGTGCTGTGGTTCCAACGTCGCTGGTTCAACTCCCGCTCAAAGCAAGCCTTGTGTTCATCTGTCAGCTCCTCCAAAATTTAAAAACACAAACAAGATAACTCCTACTTTATTTTCCAACTGTCAATTTTTTGTTCACCCAGCCTAAAAGTCCTGATTATCAGTTCTGGGTCCCTGGCAATGACTGTTGGGTACAAACTGAGAAGCTGTGCTCTGAAGGTAGGGCTGGGCTTTTCACTGACCATGTAGGTGGATTAGTTGTGTGGGCAAAGTGTGTCATCATAGCCACTATGTTTTCTGCACTTGGAGTAGACAGCACCTTGATAGCTCAGTTGGTAGCGCAGAGGACTGTAGGCAGTTCCTCCTATGAAGTGCTGTCGTTCCAGGGTCGCTGGTTCAACTCCCGCTCAAAGCAAGCCTTGTGTTCATCTGTCAGCTCCTCCAAAATTTAAAAACACAAACAAGATAACTCCTACTTTATTTTCCAACCATCAATTTTTTATTCACCCAGCCTAAAAGTCCTGATTATCAGTTCTGGGTCCCTGGCAATGACTGTTGGGTACAAACTGAGAAGCTGCGCTCTGAAGGTAGGGCTGGGCTTTTCACTGACCATGTAGGTGGATTAGTTGTGTGGGCAAAGTGTGTCATCATAGCCACTATGTTTTCTGCACTTGGAGTAGACAGCACCTTGATAGCTCAGTTGGTAGAGCAGAGGACTGTAGGCAGTTCCTCCAATGAAGTGCTGTCGTTCCAGGGTCGCTGGTTCAACTCCCGCTCAAAGCAAGCCTTGTCTTCATCTGTCAGCTCCTCCAAAATTTAAAAACACAAACAAGATAACTCCTACTTTATTTTCCAACCATCAATTTTTTATTCACCCAGCCTAAAAGTCCTGATTATCAGTTCTGGGTCCCTGGCAATGACTGTTGGGTACAAACTGAGAAGCTGTGCTCTGAAGGTAGGGCTGGGCTTTTCACTGACCATGTTGGTGGATTAGTTGTGTGGGCAAAGTGTGTCATCATAGCCACTATGTTTTCTGCACTTGGAGTAGACAGCACCTTGATAGCTCAGTTGGTAGAGCAGAGGACTGTAGGCAGTTCCTCCTATCAAGTGCTCTCGTTCCAACGTCGCTGGTTCAACTCCTGCTCAAAGCAAGCCTTGTCTTCATCTGTCAGCTCCTCCAAAATTTAAAAACACAAACAAGATAACTCCTACTTTATTTTCCAACCGTCAATTTTTTGTTCACCCAGCCTAAAAGTCCTGATTATCAGTTCTGGGTCCCTGGCAATGACTGTTGGGTACAAACTGAGAAGCTGTGCTCTGAAGGTAGGGCTGGGCTTTTCACTGACCATGTAGGTGGATTAGTTGTGTGGGCAAAGTGTGTCATCATAGCCACTATGTTTTCTGCACTTGGAGTAGACAGCACCTTGATAGCTCAGTTGGTAGAGCAGAGGACTGTAGGCAGTTCCTCCTATGAAGTGCTGTCGTTCCAGTGTCGCTGGTTCAACTCCCGCTCAAAGCAAGCCTTGTCTTCATCTGTCAGCTCCTCCAAAATTTAAAAACACAAACAAGATAACTCCTACTTTATTTTCCAACCATCAATTTTTTATTCACCCAGCCTAAAAGTCCTGATTATCAGTTCTGGGTCCCTGACAATGACTGTTGGGTACAAACTGAGAAGCTGTGCTCTGAAGGTAGGGCTGGGCTTTTCACTGACCATGTAGGTGGATTAGTTGTGTGGGCAAAGTGTGTCATCATAGCCACTATGTTTTCTGCACTTGGAGTAGACAGCACCTTGATAGCTCAGTTGGTAGAGCAGAGGACTGTAGGCAGTTCCTCCTATGAAGTGCTGTCGTTCCAAGGTCGCTGGTTCAACTCCTGCTCAAAGCAAGCCTTGTCTTCATCTGTCAGCTCCTCCAAAATTTAAAAACACAAACAAGATAACTCCTACTTTATTTTCCAACCATCAATTTTTTATTCACCCAGCCTAAAAGTCCTGATTATCAGTTCTGGGTCCCTGGCAATGACTGTTGGGTACAAACTGAGAAGCTGCGCTCTGAAGGTAGGGCTGGGCTTTTCACTGACCATGTAGGTGGATTAGTTGTGTGGGCAAAGTGTGTCATCATAGCCACTATGTTTTCTGCACTTGGAGTAGACAGCACCTTGATAGCTCAGTTGGTAGAGCAGAGGACTGTAGGCAGTTCCTCCTATGAAGTGCTGTGGTTCCAGGGTCGCTGGTTCAACTCCCGCTCAAAGCAAGCCTTGTGTTCATCTGTCAGCTCCTCCAAAATTTAAAAACACAAACAAGATAACTCCTACTTTATTTTCCAACCATCAATTTTTTATTCACCCAGCCTAAAAGTCCTGATTATCAGTTCTGGGTCCCTGGCAATGACTGTTGGGTACAAACTGAGAAGCTGTGCTCTGAAGGTAGGGCTGGGCTTTTCACTGACCATGTAGGTGGATTAGTTGTGTGGGCAAAGTGTGTCATCATAGCCACTATGTTTTCTGCACTTGGAGTAGACAGCACCTTGATAGCTCAGTTGGTAGAGCAGAGGACTGTAGGCAGTTCCTCCTATGAAGTGCTGTGGTTCCATGGTCGCTGGTTCAACTCCCGCTCAAAGCAAGCCTTGTCTTCATCTGTCAGCTCCTCCAAAATTTAAAAACACAAACAAGATAACTCCTACTTTATTTTCCAACCGTCAATTTTTTATTCACCCAGCCTAAAAGTCCTGATTATCAGTTCTGGGTCCCTGGCAATGACTGTTGGGTACAAACTGAGAAGCTGCGCTCTGAAGGTAGGGCTGGGCTTTTCACTGACCATGTAGGTGGATTAGTTGTGTGGGCAAAGTGTGTCATCATAGCCACTATGTTTTCTGCACTTGGAGTAGACAGCACCTTGATAGCTCAGTTGGTAGAGCAGAGGACTGTAGGCAGTTCTTCCTATGAAGTGCTGTCGTTCCAGGGTCGGTGGTTCAACTCCCGCTCAAAGCAAGCCTTGTGTTCATCTGTCAGCTCCTCCAAAATTTAAAAACACAAACAAGATAACTCCTACTTTATTTTCCAACCATCAATTTTTTATTCACCCAGCCTAAAAGTCCTGATTATCAGTTCTGGGTCCCTGGCAATGACTGTTGGGTACAAACTGAGAAGCTGTGCTCTGAAGGTAGGGCTGGGCTTTTCACTGACCATGTAGGTGGATTAGTTGTGTGGGCAAAGTGTGTCATCATAGCCACTATGTTTTCTGCACTTGGTGTAGACAGCACCTTGATAGCTCAGTTGGTGGAGCAGAGGACTGTAGGCAGTTCCTCCTGTGAAGTGCTGTGGTTCCAAGGTCGCTGGTTCAACTCCCGCTCAAAGCAAGCCTTGTGTTCATCTGTCAGCTCCTCCAAAATTTAAAAACACAAACAAGATAACTCCTACTTTATTTTCCAACCGTCAATTTTTTATTCACCCAGCCTAAAAGTCCTGATTATCAGTTCTGGGTCCCTGGCAATGACTGTTGGGTACAAACTGAGAAGCTGTGCTCTGAAGGTAGGGCTGGGCTTTTCACTGACCATGTAGGTGGATTAGTTGT